AGGGGAGCAGTGGGTGAGACAGGAGAGGTCTGCTGTGCCATGTGGGATTGAACTTGTGCTGCAGAGGCTGCGGATTGCTTCATAGCATGGTGCTTAACCCCTTGCACCATGAGGGAGGCACCACAACCAGAATTTTTTGATCCGAGTGAACTTACAACCAAGTAAACTTAAAAGATAGAATATTTAAATTATGGGCATAAATAAAAATTTGGATTAAGTTGGAGGTAAGAAGTAACCTGTAAAGGTTATAAGGAAACCCACAGGAGATAGGCTACCATAGGTAGGTGCCGATTTAGAAAATAAATAAATAAATAAATGAACAAATAAATAAATATTTTTAAATTGTGGTAAAAAATACATAATAGAAGTTTGTTTTAGCCATTTGAAAGTGTACAGTTCTGTGACATTAAGTACACCCATCTTGTTATGCAACTATCACCGTCATCCATGACCAGAACTTTTTTTCTTTTTGCAAAACTGAATTTTTAAGCACATTAAGTTATAACTCCCTGTTGTCCCCTCCTCTCAGCCCCAAGCAACCACCATTCTATCTTCTGTCTTTATCAATTTGACCACTTTAAGTACTTCATTTGAGCGGAGTTTTACAGTATTTGTCTTTCCTGTAACTGTCATTATTTCATAATGTCTTCAAGATTCATTCATTTTGCAACATGTTTGTTTCCTTTTAAGACTTTATAGTATTGCACTGTATGTGTATGTTATATTTTGTCTACCAACTCATCTGTTGATAGACACTTGCATTGCTTTCACCTTTAGACCATTGGGAATAATGCTGCTGTGAGCACAGGGTATAACACTATCTGTCTTTTCATGTTCCAACTTTCACTTCTTTTAGGTATAAACACAGAAATGGAATTGCTATATATATATATATCTATATATATACTCTTTATAGAGAGAGATTTTTTTTTTTTTTGTGGGACCCTTGCCAGCAGCGGGGGAACGAACCGGCGCTGCAGAGGCTGTGGGCAGCCTCGCAGCCCAACGCTCAACCGCTGCGCCACCAGGGGAGGCCCAATGGAATTGCTATATTATATAATAATTGTTTGATTTTTTTTTTTAGGCCAACGAACTTTTCCACAGCAGCTGTACTATTTTATAGTCCTACCAGCAGTGCACAAGAATTCCAGTTTCTCCACCTCCTAGCTAATACTTGTTTTTCTGTTTATAGGACAGTGGCTGACCTAATGGGTGTGAAATTCTCATATTTTGATTTGCATTTCCCTAATATAAGTGATGTTGAGTGTTATTGATCATTTGTGATACTTCTTTGAGAAATGTCTATTTGAGTTCTTTGTCTGTTTTCGGTGCCAAATTTTAAAAACAATATGGTAATCAAGAGCATCTTAAAACGTTACAGAACTGTCAGAAATATATCTGTTTTGGGCCTCCCCGGTGGCGCAGCGGTTGAGCGCTGGGTTGCGAAGCTGCCCGCAGCCTCTGTGGTGCCGGTTCGATCCCCAGCTGCTCCCCGGCCACCGAAGGAGGGTCCCACATGGCGCGCAGACCTCTCCTGCCGCCCGCTGCTCCCCTCAGCAGTGTACTTCAGTCCTTCTGCCTGCTCTGCTCCCCGCTCTGGCTCTGGTGAATTCTCTCACCCTCCCGCGCTTCTGACTGTACCCAGTGCTTGTATAAACAAAACAAACAAACAAACAAATAAATAAAACATGCCTCTATAAAAAAAAAAAAGAAATATATCTGTTTTAATTGCTAATACTGGTAGCAAATGAGTAAATAATTTAAGAAAATATTTATTTCATATCTCTAATCAAATTTTGTCTGTTTTTATTATTGTATGTGTCTCATTCATCTCTTCTTCTCTGTTCCTATTAGCATCATACTAATCTGCTTAACAACATCTCATATTTGTATTACAGTGGTTTAAGGGTAAAAGTGAGTTTAAAAAAGGGGGTAGATTTTTATCTACCTATAGTAAGTCCTTAATTTGACAAATGATATTTTGACGGAGGCCCAGTTTTAATGCAATGTTCATAAATTCCTTTGGTAGGCTTGTTTATCTCATCTTTAACCCTGTCCTCAATTCAACCAAGATTATTATTAAAGAACCTAAGACCTAAGTTTCTCTCCTCTGGGCAGTGTGTGGGCAGGTCACACTAATTCTTCCCCATTGAATGAACTAGTGATTTCTTAAATTTCTCTTAGTCTTGTCATTAAAACTTTGATGATTATTATAAATACTAGATCATTCTAGGACCTAAACTGGAAGTCTTATAAATCTAAACATTAGTTACTTTAAAATTAGCTATCAATAATAAAGCACAATATTTTAAACAGTTTCTGTCAGGGTAGGGTTTATTTCCTTTTGTAGTACTGCCTCTTGACATTTGAAAACAAAGAGTAGGGCCTCTCCGGTGGCGCAGCTGTTGAGCGCTGGGTTGCGAAGCTGCCCGCAGCCTCTGCAGCGCCGGTTCAATCCCCGGCCGCCGGGTGAGGGTCCCACATGGCATGCAGACCTCTCCTGCCACCCACTGCTCCCCTCAGCAGTGTACTTCGGTCTTTCTGCCTACTCTACTCTCCCCTCTGGCTCTGGTGAATTCTCTCGCCCTCCCGCGCTTCTGACTGTACCCAGTGCTTGTATAAATAAATAAATAAATATTTTAAAAAATAAAATAAAATAAATAAAAACAAAGAGTAAAAGTGCTCATTGTGTACCTCTAGTTTTATATTTCTACATTTTGAGTTTTATAAAATACAAAACATCTCACACACCTGAATACAGTGATACATATTCTAAAATTAAATAGAAATACATTTTTGAAAAAGGAATCTTTGTACATTCTTGGTGGCAATGTAATTAAGTACAACTTCTGGAAAACAGTATGATGATTGCCCAAAAAATTAAAAATAAAAATACCATGTGATCCAGTTATTCTACTTTTAGGTATTAATCAGAAAAAAATATAGACACTAATTTGCAGATATTTATCACCCCTTTCATTGCAGTATTGTTTGTAATAGTACAGATATGGCAGCAACCTAAGTGTCCATTAACAAATAGAATGCATAAAAGAAGATGTGATATATCTCTCTGTATATATGTGTGTATGTATACACATATTAAAATGGAATATTACCCAGTCATAAAAAAGATGAAATCTTGCTGTTTGTGACAACCTGGATCAACCTTGAGGGTATTATGCTAAGTAAATTACATTGGATGGAGAAATAAAAATACTGTACAATTTCACTCATGTGGAATGTTAAACAAACAAACACAACAAAAAAAAAAACAGATTTATAGAACATATGGATGGTTATTACCAGGGGGAGGGAGAATAAAATGGGTAAAAAGGGCCAATAGTATGGTGATGAATGGAAACCAGACTTTCGGTGGTGAAGTATGTTATAGTGTATAAAGATATTAAATCTGAAGCATATAATATGTGTTACTTCAATAAATGCATGCATGCATGCATTTTTTTTTAATTATTTCAAAAGCTAAATACGGAGTTTTTCTTATCTACCATTTTTATTTGTTCATGCGTCTACTTTCCTTTTGCTTCATTGAGAATTTATATTAAATTGATTTCAAGTGGACTTCTAAAAGATAAGTAATTCTTAAAACCAATATAATCTCAAGAAATAATGTTCTATGATAGGCTAATGTAGATGTATAAAAATTCAGTGACCCTTTTTAGATAAATTTATGCATTTATTATTTGCTGCTCAATAATTTTTGTAAATTGTGTATCACTTCTATTTTTTTTTTTTTTTTATAGAGGCATGCTTTATTTGTTTGCTGGTTTTGTTTGTTTGTTTGTTTTTTTGTTTATACATGCACTGGGTACAGTCAGAAGCGCGGAGGGTGAGAGAATTTACACTGCTGAGGGGAGCAGCGGGCGGCAGGAGAGGTCTGCGCGCCATGTGGGACCCTCCTCTGGTGGCCGGTGAGCAGCCGGGGATCGAACCGGCGCCGCAGAGGCCGCGCGCAGCTTCGCAACCCAGCGCTCAACCGCTGCGCCACCGGGGAGGCCCTCACTTCTATTTTTTTCTGTTACTTGTTAAAGTCACTATTCAGTTATGAGTAGTCATTTTCTAGGATCTATGAATACTTTTTGATTTCTATAATACATCCTTCATAATCATTTTTGAAGCTCAGATCCTCTAATATTCTTAAATAACTTAATTTCTATTTATCAGGGATCAAGCAAGTACTTTTAATACTGCATTTGTCACTGAAAAAGCTGGTTTTAATTTATATTGACCTTTCTCTCCTTTGAGCATTTAGTCTGCACTCAATAAAATGTTGATGACTGCTCTTTAGAAGACAGCTGTACGAAATAAAGTATTATAAATATTCAGCTTTCCTTTCTAAGCATTGTCACCAACAGCTGGGCATCTAGTTTAGCAGAACAGATTTTGCACAAAGAGAGACTGGCATGTTCCTGAATCAGTTTAGTGAAGGAGACAAAAAATAGTTTCTTATGGATTGGGGACTTATAAAGACATAGAGCATCTGTTCCTCAGTTAAGTGATAGTCTGGTAGCTCTGAATCATGTTTAAAGCTAGAATATGCAGAACTTCTTTTTTACCTTGCTCATACCTTTAACACTATTTCTGCAAATAATACTCTTTCAACATCACTATTGAAGTTGTATAAATTATTTTGCTCTTACATGTAATTTTTCATTTGTGATATTTTAAAAACACAAATATAGTGGTTTTTATTAAGATTCTTTATAATATGGTTTTAATGATTGAATTGTATGATGTACATGTATATGTATATATATTTGTATGTATACCCACACATATAAAAAAGATCCATTTAAACATTTAATTATCATTCTACCTTGAAATATACCATTTTAAAAAAGTTATGAAAATAGCTTTCTTAAAGAGATGGTATTTTACTTTAGTTGATGGAAATAACTTTAAATCTTTCATTATATATTATTAAATATTTGGCTACTTAAATATATCAAATCTAAAGTTTTCTTTAAATGTTTTGTTTACAGTATTAGAAGATCACTGAAATTGGATGGCATGTTAGAAGAAAATGTAAGTATTTGTTTATGCATTTGTAATTTCATAGTAAGATTGTTTTCATTTTTAAAACTACTTATTTATCTTAATAAATGTAAAAATTATAAAAAACATTGTGACATAAAGGTATTTGGTATACCATTTTCTGCATATAAAATAGTTTTTGTAAATCTAATATGTCAAAGTTCCTGGCCAGCTTTAAGTTTTTACTTAAGAGGAAATAATTTAGTTATTGTAATTAAATAATTTAGTAAAAATTAGTTCACTGTAGAAAAAAAATACCTTGCCACTTAAATGTACAAGAAACAATAAGGGACAATGGCAATTTGTATTCTATAATCTAAATTGAAATAAAAACATTAACAGCATTTTTATATCAAAAATTTAATTACCTCCTTTAGCTATGCTGGCATGATTAAGCAATAAAATACTAACACTGTTATTAATTTCACCATGGTTGTCACAATAAAAATATAATTGTACTGTTGCTATTATTTTTTGTAAATCTAGTGATAGCACATTCCCAATGTCAGCATATGATGACATATGTTAGTTTATTATCTTTTCATATCAACTATGGATCTTGATGCAAACACTAATACTGAAATACTTATGGCCTCAGCAATCTTAAATGCAGGTAAATTGGTGAGAAAGTAAATTAACACAAATAGCTAGTCAATAAATGGGCTAATGAAATCCCATATTGAATGCCATTACAAGAAATGGATTTTATATGAAATTTCTCTTTTGAAGACTCACTGGTATTAAGCAATTTACCATTTTTAAAACTTCTTAGATGCTTTTTAAAAAAATTTAAACAAAGGTGGCAAAATACTGCAATGGCACTAAAAAAAATCATTAGCACTGCAATTAACAATTTAGAGTACCATTATCCAACTTGTTCTGTATAGAATGCAGCTGTGACTGTAATTCTGCATCTGTTTCTTTGGTCAGAATGGTGTTTTGGTAGAGGAGTAGTCCAGCTTGAAATGAAATACTGCTCTTTCCTGTCCCCAAACTGTTCTTTGGGAGATGGTAACATTATTTGAATGGAAACAATTGGCCATTTAGGAGTTCATCCGCTTCATGTCATCATGGCAAGCTTTCTGTCCTTTTTTTCTCCAAGATTAGTGTCCGTGTCAAGTTAGCCATTGCCGCAGCTAATATCCTGTATTAGAAAAATACATTGTTATATTTGGCCCAATTCTGTACCTTTAAATCAGCTAATTTATCTTGGTATCCCATGGTTATTACCTGTTCAAAATAGGCTCCTCGCATCCTGTCTCGGTCTTCAACATTTCTATTGCCTGACCCATTTCTGATTTTTTTATCATTTAATTTCTTCACCATTTGTTTGTAGCTCTGTATATTTACATCTTAGTTCTGACAGCTTTTGCTCCCATGCTAAGTCTAGGCTACTCTCCTAAGCTACATATACTTCTATCCACTCCACTAACAACTTAGCCCTGAAGCAGTTTGGCTCTCAAGAATCTGCCCATATACCATTAATCCTGTTGAGACTGCCTTATCCCAGACAAAGGATAATCAAGCATTCAATTCTAAGAGCATATAATTATAGTGAAGCTACAGAGCAACTAGTAGTAACTTTATGATTATTATAACTGACCAATATGATGCTGAATGAAGAAGACTCTGGTGTCCAAGTGTCTTGGCACATAGAAGGTGCCCCTTAAATGCAGTTTGTTGAGGTGGAACCTACCCATCAACTCTAGCTTCTTCTTCATTTAGAGATGTTTGGAACTCCTAACTCCTGATGTTCCCAGACCTTCCTTGAGATTAATGCTCTATGATATTAGAGCAAATCTACAAAAGCCATTTTCCTTGTGATTTCCCTGATGATGGGAGCAGAGGTATAGATAATCCCATCACCTTCCTTTAATATGTAGAATGTACACTGCAAATACCACTATTTGCTGAACCTCCCAAATTGTTAGGAGGAATGAAGAAGGTTTCAGTTTATTAACATTATTACCTACAATATTTGGGCTCCTTAAGTTATTGCCCTCCAAGCACTGTTTCTAGGATTTTCGGGAATGATGAATTATTTACTACAAACTGCCATCAGTGACCGTCTAGATGAATTTTTAGGGATAGCTGGCTACCTGGTCATATACCTAGCTATCTTGATCCAATTTCTTTCAGACCAAATCAGAGAAGGAATTGAAGAAGCAGATGCTACAGATGAGAAAGGGAAAAATATACTTCCTAATAAGGCAACTCAAGAAGTGTGCTGTAGAAGGAATGGAAGTGTAGATTTTGGGGGAGGTTTGTTGATTTGGACATGGATACCCAGTCTGGATTACTCTAATACTATTGGTAGAACAATTCTAAATCTGAATATGCTGTGGCCTAACCTTGTCTTCAGTTTCTGCTCATTACCAAAATTAGGAAGAACTTTGGATTTGAGGACATTTAGAAATTTTATAGCTCACATTCTGCAGACTTACTGATCTGACTCAAATCTATTGCTTTCTTTTCTTTGTCCAACCTCTCCTTTTCTTCTTCTTTCTCACCTTTTTATTACAGAAATCTTTAAATAGACACACAGGTAAAGAAAATAATATAAACTCCCATGTAGCCATCACCTAGCTTCAATAATTCTTGCCAGTTTTGCCTATTTGTGTGTATGTGTGTCTGTATTTTTTTCCATGAAGAGACTTCATTGGAAACATCTTGTGGATTACAGGATATAATAGTGATATTATTAAATTAGTGATATTATTAAATTATAATAGTGATATTATTAAATTAATAGTTCAATATCTTGAAGTTTTAGAACAATAATCAGCACAAATAGGAACCCAGTATATCACTATTCAGCCAACATTTTCCTGTTAAGAAACTTTTTATTAAACTAAAATTTATTTATTGGGCCTCCCCCATGGCGCAGGTGGTTGAGCACACCTCTGTGAAGCTGTCTGCAGCTTCTGCAGTGCCAGTTTCCCCGCCAGCCGCGGAGATACCCACATGGCAGGGCAGACCTCTCCTGTCTCGCCTGCTGCTCCTCTCAGCAGTGTATTTCGGTCTGTCTGCCTGTTCTGTTCCCCGCTCTGTCTCTGGTGAATCCTTTCACCCTCGAACACATCTGGCCTGTACCCCAGTTCTTGTATAAAAATAAATAAATCTTAAAAAAAAATTTATGTAACATAAGATTCACAGATCTTAAATGAGTTTTAACAAATGTATATGCCTGTGTACCGAACACTCAGTCAAGATGTAGAACAGTTCCATCACCATAAATTTAGCATATTAGTTATATTCCTTCCCCACAATACCTGTGAAATCATTGAGATACATGGGAAATTATTTTGTTCTCATAGCTGTTGTTAAAAATAGCAAAAACCCCCAACATTATTAGAACCGTTAAGGATGATAATTATGACAACTGATAAGAACTTAGTTGTTATCTAAGACTCTTCTAGGAATCCTAGGCCCAAATTGTGAAAAGTCCTTGAAACAGCTAGCTTTTAGAGTTTCTAATATAAATTCTACAGTTAGTACTAGTAATACATAGCAATATCATAGGTGAGATATTCCTATGTAACCTCATTAACTAGTATAAGGTTAATAAGAAAATTCTTCCTTTATCTGCTCTAATTTTTCTTTTGTTTCTGGTTATCCAAATGCCTTTTAGTACCTATGTTTTAAATGTCTCAGTGATAGCATAGGCTAGTAGTTCATAATAATAATAGCAGATCTTTTATATCCTATATTTCATCCTGAAAGAACCCTTAGTTTGTACTTTCTAGACTGTTTATAATAGGTAAAAATCAATGAAATGCAGGCACCTTTTTGGTAGAGTATGCTTTAAACAAGGTGACAAAGCCAGCTACAATTTGTGAAAGATATTGGAAGGGAACATCATATATATTTGAAATTATGGAGAGAAGAACATTGATTTCTTTTTTTAGGCTGAAAAATCAATGCCCAAATTTTAGTTTTGTTAATGTATAAGGTTTGACCTTCTCAGAAATAGTACAGTGGCATTTGGGCTGATCATAGAATTTTAGAACATGACATTTTTTTTAAATAGCAATAGTAAATATCTCTAAGGAGTCAGTAAATATTACAAGTAGTTGTAAATTATTATAGAAATAGTTGTGGTTTATCTGATTTCTATTTCCTTACATTTTTTTTGTGTGTATCCTGAATACTTTTACTTTTTTAACTAAATCTGTTTTCTTTTTGTCTTTCCCCTTTTTCTTTTGTTCATCAAGAATCTGATAGGTAGCACTCTTTTTATTGAAAGAGTGCCAGTTAGTAGCTCAGTTTTTCTCAAATCCAGTCTTCTTAACTCTTCCTGCTGTGGTAGACCAAGACCTTCAATGTTTGTTGGATGGCAGTACAAAAATTCATAGGTGAATTTAGGTTCACTCTTAAGCATCTTTAGGGTTTAAAAGTCAGAGGACACCTTCAATGCAATGTTATTTCAATTTTTAAAAAATTAGAAGACCTTGATGGAAGGTCCTTTGGAGACTCTGGACTGGGGGCAGAGGGTGTGGAATGTAGGGAAGTCAGATTATGCCTTTGTATATACCAGTAGAAAAATGATAAAAAAATGCATTATTTACTGAAGAATATTTAGTGACATAGTAGATTTTCATTTTTTGCTCTATGTATTATAGTTGTAGACAGACTTTTTTCCTTTTAACCAACACAGATAACCAAAATAAAAAGCAAAAGAGAAGTCTCAGTATTTTTAAGGTGAGGGAAAATAAAATTGTACACACACACACACACACACATATGTGTGCACACACAAAGACATATTTTATGAAAGCTAGAGAACTGTTTCCAAAGAAAAATGTGTGATCTAGTGTTGCAATGTTTATATATTTGGCAATTGGAAAAAATAATTTTTTGGTGAAAATAGGAAAACAGATTGACATAAATGTGCATTAGGGTAGTGACTTTCATTTCTTGTACATATACAGTGAAATAGTTCTGGGCAATAAATTTTTAGAAAACTAGGGTAGGATTGGATAAATGTCATTGTTTGTGACTGAATACATATAAACAGGTGAAAACTCAAGATGGAGAGGTAATAATAACCACCTGATAAAAAGACTTAAAACACTTTTACCCTACGAAAAAGATTGCTTTAGAGTACCTTGATATTTTAGTTTGGTTTTTTTTTGGTAAATGATATGGTTACATTTGTGGCTGTTGTGGATACATAAAGTGAAACAAAATGTCTTTTGTCCCCCCCAGTACTAATAATTATTTATCATTAAAAATCGTAACTGTGGGCTCCCTGGTAGTGCAGGTGGTTGAGCGCCACGCTGTGAAGCTGTCCACAGCCTCTGCAGCGCCAGTTCGATCCTGGCTGGCCAGCGAGGGTCCTACATGGTGCAGCAGACCTCTCCTGTCGCACCCGCTGCCCCCCTCAGCAGTGTATTTCGTCAGTCTGCCTGTTCTGCTCCCCACTCTGTCTCTGGTGAATCCTCTCACCCTCCCGCGCATCTGGCCTGTACCCCAGTTCTTGTGTAAATGAATAAATAAATATTAAAAAAAATCATAGCCGTGAAAAAAAAAATTATGCTGTAGATTTTGGAACTATACCAAGATTATTGACGAAGGTGACACAGTTACTATTTCTGCCATGGTGTCTTAAAAAATAAAGAATAATTGACAGTGGAGCATTTTGTAATTATTTTAAGTTAGCTACCAAGTTAAAGTACAACTCTACATTTTGGCAACATATCATGAGCTGTGAGACCTTTCCTTTTTCTCCCAAATCCATCCTATTCTCGGTTTCCATGCCTTTTATTTTCACTTATCTAAGCTTTACCCTCTCTCTCACAATAATCCTTCTTAAGATTATTGACACCAGCCACCTCAGTGGTGCAGCGGTTGAGCGCTAGGCTGTGAAGCTGCCTGCAGCCTCTGCAGCGCCGGTTCCATCCCTGGCCACTGGTGAGGGTCCCACTTGGTGCGCAGATCTCTCCCTGCCATGCCCTCTGCTCCCCTCAGCAGTGTACTTTGTCGGTCTGCCTGTTCTGCTCCCCGCTCTGGCTCTGGTGAATTCTCTCACCCTCCCGCGCTTCTGACTGTTCCCCGTGCTTGTATAAATAAATCTTAAAAAAAAAAAAGATTATTGACAGCCCACTTTGATTTTCCCTCTCCTCTGAATTTCTATAGCACAGATTAACTTAAGACCTTTTCTCTGTGTTTATGAAGGCAAAACAATTTCTTCTGTTTTCTTTGTACAAATTTAATGTAATCAAATGTAATCAAGTGTTGGATGATTGGATAGCAATATAGAAAACAAGTTTAAAGGGAATCAGATGAGCATACAACTAATAGTGTGATGATGGATGTTTGGAGAAAACCAAAGAAAGACTTGTTCCTGGGCAAGGTAAGAAAGTATGCATTCTAAACTGGGATCACAGAATTAGCTGAGGCCCCAGATATGCAAAGCTAGTGACTGGGGCTACAGGTGCCATTTAAAATTGGATGAGTGAACTAACAAAAAAATGAATATAATTCTGAGTAGAGTGGCTTGGCCAAGTTTACTGAGATGTTCTTTTTTTCTTTTTTTAAAGATGTGTTTATTTGTATATACAAGAACTGGGGTACAGGCCAGAGGTGTGGGGGGGTGGTGAGAGGATTCACCAGAGACAGAGTGGGGAACACAATAGGCAGATAAACTGAAATACACTGCTGAGGGGAGCAGCGGGCAAGTCAGGAGAGGTCTGCTCTGCCATGTGGGTAGCTTCTTGCCAGGGATCAAACTCTTGCTGCAGTGGCTGTTGTGAGCTTCATAGGTTGTGTCTTAACCCCTTGTGCCACCAGGGAGGCCCCTCTTTTTTAAAACGATATTTATTTATGCATACAGGAACTGGGATACAGGCCAGAGTGCAGCAGGGAGAGAGGATTCACCAGAGAGAGAGTGGGGAACAGAACAGGCAGACTGACTGAAACACATTGCTGAGGGTGAGGGGAGCAGCGGGCAAGACAGAAGAGGTCCACTGAGCCATATGGGCAGCTCCCTGGCTGGCTGGGGATGGAACTCATGCTGCAGAGTCTGCAGATAGCTTCACAGTGCTGTGTTTAACCCCTTGCACCACCAGGGAGGCCCTAAGATGTTCTTTTTAAATCATTCACTTGGGCCTCCCTGGTGGAGCAAGGGGTTAATACACAACCTGTGAAGCTGTCTGTAGCCTCTGCAGCAGGAGTTCGATCCCCCAGCCGGCCAGGGAGTTACCCACATGGCGCAGCAGACCAGGGAGCTACACACATGGCGCAGCAGACCTTTCCTGTGTTGCCTGCTGCTCCCCTCAGCAGTGTACTTTGGTCAATCTGCCTGTTGTGTTCCCCACTCTGTCTCTGGTGAATCCTCTCACCCCACCCCCCCACACCTCTGGCCTGTACCCTAGTTCTTGTATGCATAAATAAATAAAATGTTTTTAAAAAATAAAAATAAATCATTCACTCATCACACATTTTTTGAGTTCTAGAGTACAAAGATGAAAAAAAGATATTTTCAGCATTCAAATTCTAACAGGGCACAGAAATTTAAGTTATTAAACTGCCAACTTCAATAAAAGGTATGCACAAGGTCTATGGGAACAGAGGAGGAAACCTCAGAAAAGGTTGATATAGGACAGGCCCAATTCTCAAAAGACTTAAATGTCAAACTCAGTTGTTTGAACATTATTTTTTATTATTAAGTTGCTGTGTCAGAGCAACTTTGTGAAGGCTTAGGATAGCACTCATCCTTCTTACGACTTCCCTGCGGTCTTACTAAGAGGTAGCTTATGAGACTTTCCCGCATACCCCATAATTACACTTCAGTCTCAACTGAGAGCAAAAGTCAGGATATAATTGGTACGGTAAGTAATCTTTAACTTATTTAGAAATACCACCTCCCCTTTAATGTTAAAATTTTATAAATATCAAATGAGATGCCCTGATTATTGAAATATCTACATGATTTAAAACAATAGTTTTCCCTTTGAGGGTGACAACTGACCATATTTATTTGTTATTTTTTTCAAAGATTTATTTATTATTACAAGAACTGGGGTACAGGCCAGATGTGCAGGAGGATGACAGGATTCACCAGAGACAGAGTGGGGAACAGAACAGGCAGGCTGACAATATACACTGCTGAGGGGAGCAGCGGGCGAGACAGGAGAGGTGTGCCACGCCATGTGGGACCCTCGCCATGTGGGACCCAAGCCGGCTGGCTGGGATCCTGGTGCTGCAGAGGCTGCGGACAGCTTCACAGCGCTGCACTCAACTACCTGCGCCACCAGGGAGGCCCCTGACCATATTTAAAACCCAAAAGGAAAGGAAAATATTTTTAATATTAGAAATAAAAGGAAATTTTTTAATATTAGAAAGTATTCATCTGAATTTTGCAGGTTTTTAAAGGTATTTTCAAATATCTATCACTAACCATAAGTATTTTTGTTCAAAATTAATATTTATTTCCAGTCATTCAAACCTTCAAAAGTCACAGGGAAGAAAAGTATTATAACTTACTCTCCAACAACCGGAACTTGCCAAATGAGCCCATTTGCTTCTCCCACAAGCTCTACAGAAGAAGATGTGCCATCAAAAGGTTAGTTTAACATTCTTTTCCACTTATTGTGAGATTTTTCTATTTATTGGTTAAATCAGAATTTAGATTTAATAATATGTGAATCTTCTGCTGCTGATTTTTCTCTTAAAGAATTCAACACAGAAAAAAAAAAGAATTCAACATAGGAAAGACTAGAATATAGGTATTACTTTGGACATAAATGTAAACTTTCTAGGCACTTACTTTAAAATGCTACTACAGACTTTGTTCCCTTACTGTCCCATCCATTAAATAGAAATTATGGCCTGACTGCCTTCAGCTACTATCAATTATAATGGTAACAGATACACCCTTTAACAAGCTATCCATCATGTGCATAAATTAAAGGACACATAATTCAGGTACTGCTGTACTACAGTTTAAGAGTGACACTTCTAAATGTTATTTTTATCCATGTTGTCCATTTAGTTTTATCCACATTTTGTGTACCTTATATAGGTTTATTTCATTTCTTATATTTCTTTCCCTTCTTTTCCCCAGACCGTTTTAAATGCATTTGCAAAAGGTTTATGGAATGCTCAATTAGAGAAAAACCTAGTTTTAATATGAAATTCTTTATTTTAAAATATTGTTAGTTTAATTTTGACCATACATAGCTCTTGTTCTCTGGTAATTTATTGCTGAAATAATTATTTAAAATGTGGGGAAATCTAGATTTCATCAGTTTAATTTTTAATATTAGAAAAGTTATGAATCATGTCAAATTTCTATAATATAAAATTTTAAATAGGCTCAAATTTAATAAAATATATTTTAGATATGCTGTGATTAGCTTAATTCATATTTTATTGTTTAACATTTGAGTGCTAAGTATATACTAAAAGCTACACAGAAACAAAAAAATCTCCTCACTTTACCTAATTTGTTGTAATGAAACCCAGAATGAGATCTTAAACTTTTGAATGACTTTTATTTTACTTTAATCAAATGCTTATTATCTTAAAGCCATCACTATTAGGTTTGCTTTTACAAAAGTATATGAGGATCTATACATTTTCTTCAGACTCTGTAGCTGTTTTCTATACTTGATATATCTTTCACTTAAAATTAAAAATTAGTGCTTTGTAGATTGCATTATCTCTATATTGAAATGTTAATAGATTTTAAGTGAATACATACTCAATTTCCATATTGAAATTAAATAGGGATGTAGGGAACATTCCTTTTGCCCATAAAAAGATTGGTCACATGATCCCAGTTGACATTTAAGTGGATAATTATCAAAGATTATAGTACTAAGTAAGCTCTCTTTTTAAAAAAGTCATATAGCAAGGGTTCCTGAGGTGCTGCTAATATTCTGTTCCTTAACTTCCGTGGCATTACACTGGTTCATTCTATAATTATTCATTAAACTGTACACATGTTTTATGTACTTTTTCTCATATATATACAAAGTCTCACATACAGAAGTCTCAAAATGGAAAATTCAGTCTAGGATCTTAGATTATGTCATTTTTAGTCATTCTATTGCTCATCCTAATATGTCATCTTATATTAGAAATAAGAAAGTGTGCCTTTTATAACCTCAAGTTCCAAATAAATAAGAAATTATAACTTATGACATAATTCAAGTTCCACATGAAGTCATTTCTTCTGTTAACAATTTTTACCTTTTAAATATTTATAGAGTTACAAAATATGAGTTAAAATAAGCGCTTTTATTAATATTTAAATAGCATTTTATTGGCTTTTTTAGAGATTTATTTTTATTTATTTATGCATACAAAAACTGGGGTATAGGCTAGAGATGCTGGCGAGAGGCTTCACCAGAGACAGAGTGGAGATAACAGGCAGATCTACTGAAACACACTGCTGAGGGGAGCAGCGGGCAAGGCAGGAGAGGGCTGTTGTGCCGTATGTAGGTTAGCTCCCTGGCCAGAGATTGAACTTATGCTGCAGTGGCTGGAGGTAGCTTGATAGAGCTGAGACTTTAACCCTTGTGCCACCAGGGTTAACCCTTGCGCTCCATTAAATAGCAATTTCAAGGAAATTTTAGTTGCTACTTACTTTTTATTACACTTACAATATTATCCTTATCATGACTTTTAAAGCTATACATCTTCTAATCCCTGACCACATTATCTGCCTCATTTTCTATTACCCTTCTATATTTACACTTACTTTACTCATTCTTATTTTCATGCCAAGCCCCTTCCCACTACAAAGTTAGTGCACTTGAGTTCTCCCAACCTGGAATATTCTTCCTCCATATATATATATGTACTTTCAAAATGTATTTGAACCATGTGCTATGTATGTGAACAGATGATATAGATTTAAATCCATTTGTAGTTATTAAGGAAAGAAAAATCTGGTTCTCTGTCTTCCCTCTACTTAAATTCTACATGGGTCAAAAGTGGGATGACTGGTTCCAAATCTTCAGTTTATACATATAAGATATATACATAGGATGACATATATATATATGTGTGTGTGTGTATATGATGTGTTTATATGTTTTTTGTGTCATTATTTTGCTGACCTATCCCACCCTTTAGCAAATTTATCCCAACTATTTTGCTTTACAGAGAAGAGGAATGATAGTAAATTTTCCTTCTCCATTATTCCTACTGGATCAGTGTTATTACTTAATAATTAGGGTATAAGTATAGACAACAGATTTGCATAGTCAAAGGAAATAAATTCTTAACTAGGCAATAGATTTATAGAAATCACTAAGACTGTAGTAATATAATAGCACAGAGAGATAGAGGTGGAGAATATGATAAAACAGTAAGAGAATTTAACTGTTTGGTTTTTTTTTTTAAAGATTATTTATACAAGAACTGGGGTACAGGCTAGATGTGCGGGAGGGCGAGAGGATTCACCGGAGACAGAGCGGGGAACAATACAGGCAGATTGACGAAATACACTGCTGAGGGGAGCAGTGGGCGCGACAGGAGAGGTCTGCTGTACCATGTGGGACCCTGGTGGCTGGGATCAAACAGGCACTGCAGAGGCTGCAGACAACTTCACAGCAAGACGCTCAACCATCTGCGCCACCAGGGGAGGCCCAAAAATTTAGCTGTTTATGAGATATAATAATATCTACCTCAGGATTGTTGTGAGAATTAAATGAATACATTAAAAATGCTTAAAATCATGCCTGGCATATAGTAAATGTTCAATACATATTTTAACTACTTTATTAATATTATTATTTAGACTATAAGAAAAGATTGGATGATTTAAAAAAAAAAAAAACCTAGTAGTTTGTATAAGATTATTAACATTTCCTCAGTCTACTAAAAATGGAACTACCATATGACCTGGCACTTCCACTCCTAAGGATCTGCCCAAAGGACACAAACACATTAATTCAAAAGAACACCTGTACCCCTATGTTTATTGTAGCACTATTTTCAATAGGTAAAACCTGGAAACAACCCAAATGCCCAAAAAAAATAGGATCAAGAAGATGTGGTATATATACACAATGGAATATTATTCAGCAGTCAAAAAAGATAAACTCATGCCATTCACAGCAACATGAATGGAGCTAGAAGGAATTATGCTCAGTGAAATAAGCCAAAAGGAAAAAGAAAAATATTGCATGGTTTCACTTAAAACAGGAATCTAGGAGAACCAAATTAGACGTCAGTGTAAAAAAATAATAACAGTACAAAGCACAACAAAGCAAAAACAGACAATTATAAATGAGAGACATACTGCAGGGGAGAAGGAAAGAGAGGGATCAGAGGGAGGGAGGGAGGAGCAAAGGGGACTGAGGTGATGGTGCACGGGTGCATTGGTGAAGGAAACTCTATGGGGAAGCAAATATTGTTTAAAAATGAACAATGATGTAAAAACTAAAAAAAAAATAATTAAAATTAAAAAATTATGTAAACACACAAAAAAGATTATTAACATTAATATAAACTAAAATAGCATTTAAGGCAGAAAGACTTTATTGAAGATAATGTGAATCTTTACAAAATGAGAGGAAGATTTACCACTAGAAATATAAAAGGATCCTGAACTTACCTGCATCTGAAACAAAAACTCAAACAGCCTGAGGAAATAGGAAAGGGTTATAAAAAGTGGCTCACAAGTCCTACCACAGTAGATTTTTATAATATATCATTTTTATTAAAGTTATTTTGGTTTATATCACACTGTATATGATTTAGGGGTATAGGTTTAGATGTATATGTATTACCAAACCACAACCACCACCAAAGCACTAATAATCCTCCACCACAGTCCAAGGACTCCATCCCACCTTTACTCACCATCCCACACTCTACTCTTCTGGAGGCCTCATTTCTCTAATCAGGTTTCTAGGATTTGATCTGGTTTAATTTTGTCTGTTTCTTCATTTTGTTTCTATTCCACAAATGGGTGAAATCATCTGGTGTTTGTCTTTCTCCTACTAATTCATTTTGCTTTGTATATCCCCGCCAATTTCATCCATGTTATCAAAAAAGGCAAGATTTTGTCTTTTGTAGCTGTATGCCATATCTTGTGCACTTAGTTTCTCACCATTTAGTATGATGTTGGCTGTGGGTTTGTCATAAATGGCCTTTATTATGTTGTGGTATGTTCCATCTATCCCCCATTACTTGGGGATTTTTATCATAAATGGATGTTGAATTTTGTCAGTTGATTTCTCTGCATCTATTGATATGCTCATATGATATTTATCTTCCCTTCTATTGATGTGGTGAATACATTGCTCAGTTTTCAGATGTTAAACCATCCTTGCATCACTGGAATAAATCCAACTTGATTGAATGTGTTGTTGGATTAGATTTGCTAAGGTTTTGTTGAAGATTTTTGCAACTATATTCATCAGGAATATTGCTTTATAATTTTCCTTTTTTGTAATTTCTTTTTATTTATTTATTTGTTTGTTTGTTTGTTTATACATGCACTGGGTACAATCAGAAGCGCAGGAGGGTGAGAGAATTCACCAGAGCCAGAGCAGGGAACAGAGCAGGCAGAAGGACCGAAGTACACTGCTGAGGGGAGCAGCGGGTGGCAGGAGAGGTCTGCACGCCATGTTGGACCCTCCTCCGGTGGCCGGGGAGCAACTGGGGATCGAACCGGCGCCGCAGAGGCTGCAGGCAGCTTCGCAACCCAGCACTCAACCGCTGCGCCACCAGGGAGGCCCATCTTTTTTTGTAATTTCTTGTCTGAATCTGGTATCAGAGTAATATTGACCTTGTAAAATACATTTGGAAGCACAATCTATTTATTAGCTCATTGAAATAATGAGTACATTTGAAATGTAAAAGAAATTACCTTCATGTTATCTGTGATTTGATTCTGTCTGGAAATACTGGATCCTCCTGTAGTATTAAGTAGAGATATTTTGACCAGTATATGTAGATATTGAACATTTGGAACATGGCTAGTCTGAGCTGAGATGTGCTGTAAAGGAACATCAGCTAGAAAGGGTTGGTATGAAAAAAAAGTATGAATTATCTCAATAATTCTATATTGATTATGTGTTAAAATTATACTATTTGGGGTATGTTATGTTAAATAAAATACTAAAATTTATTTCATTTCTTTTTCCTTTAAAAAAATTTTTTCTACTACGGCCTCCCTGGTGGCGCAGTGATTGAGCACTGGGCTGCGAAGCTGCCCGCAACCTCCACAGTGCCAGTTCAATCCCCGGCCACCAGCAAGAGTCCCACATGGCACGCAGACCTCTCCTGCCGTGCCTGCTGCTCCCCTCAGCAGTGTATTTCAGTCAGTATGCCTGTTCTGCTCCTCACTCTGTCTCTGGTGAATCCTCTCACCCTCCTGCACATCTGGCCTGTGCCCCAGTTATTGTATAAATAAATAAATCTTAAAAAAAAAAAGGAAAAACACACACATTAAAAAAAAGAAATATATTCACATCAAATTGACCTAAAGCATGATTACAAATTAAATATATCTAGAATCAGTAACTCAATTTACCACGATGTCTTAAAATGTCTTGGAACAACTCAACACAACAGTCACTGAAAGTTATTGATAAGACTTTACAATATAATTTAGTTGCAAGGAGAAAGTGTGTCTAATTTTGTATTTTTATGTTGTCTTTTGTACAGAGGGTGAGATTTTAAAAACCACTTATTTTGTATACTTGGAAGAAATGCTAAAGCCTTGTGATTTTTTTTTATGGTGACTTCAAAGATAGATGCAACTCAGAAGTTCATCAAATGAAGGGTAAAATAAAATAATGAAGAACATGGTTTTCCACATCTATGATAGAAATAATTTTCCTCCCAGAGAGGATTGGATTCTCTGCCTTGTGCAGTTTCTTTTCACATGTTGTTTTCTTGTGTACCTGAAACCGGTTACCACGTCAGAGTACATACAAGTACTCAACTTGTGAGCTAGTTTTTCTTGGTATATGGTATCAAGTAGTTTAAAAAAAAAAAGAGAGAACATTGAGTAAATGATAGTTCCTGTGCCAGTTGTTGAACAAATGGAACTATATAAAAATGTATACTGTAGGGCCTCCCTGGTGGCACAGGCAGTTGAGCGCAGCACTGTGAAGCTGTCTGCAACCTCAGCAGCGCTGGTTCGATCCCAGCCAGCCGGCGAGGGTCCCACATGGCGCAACAGACCTCTCCTGTTGCACCCGCTGCTTCCCTCAGCAGTGTATTTCATCAGTCTGCCTGTTCTGTTCCCTGCTCTGTCTCTGGTGAATCCTCTCACACTCCCGTGCATCTGGCCTGTACCCCAGTTCTTAAATAAATAAATAAATCTTTAAAAAAAAATGTATACTGTAAGGGGGGGTATCACCAGATCTACATTTAACAAAGTGATTTCTCTTGCCTGTTTTTTTATTAGTAGTAAAAAGTTTGCATTATTCATTCATTTGCTTTTTCATTAAATATTTATAAAAGACCAGTGCGTGTAAGGTTCTGAGAATCTTTAATTGTGCTAATGTGTCTTCAAACACTTGCTTACTACATATCAAATGTATTTAAAGTATATAGTACTATAAGGTAGTATACAGCAAGCATCTAAATGATCAGTTCATAAAACAATTTCTACTTGACCCTAATAAATACAACCATTGTGTTCTTTTAGAGCTATAAAATTGAATTTACATTTCAAATCAGCACATAGTTGAAGGATTATATCTTAGTTACATCCATATTTTCTCTTGTGTCTGTTAATTTATGAAAGTTTAGGTAAGCCATAGCAGTAGATTACTATATAGCACCTTATGAATAGAACTTAACCATTGATTTATTATTACCTGAAAGATACATTTACAAATGAACTATTCTAGTAGGCACGAAAGATCATCACATGGATTTACTAAATCACTATGCATGCAAAGAATGAGTTACTTTTATCCCTAAAATCAAAGTTATTTTACTGTGATACTATTAGAAACTCATTATATTCTAGATAGTAGTAATACCAATCCTTCATCATTAACTTTGAGACAAAAAAAAAATAGGGGTGAAATAATGTAAAGTAGAAACTTTAATATGGTATTTTTACTAAAATATTTGATGAAGCTATCCTTTAATAAGATTTATTAATGTACTTTAATTAGTTATATTGTTAAATTAGCTTCTGTAGTTTTCTCTTTACCAAGCTCCAATGGAAATTTTGTCCAAAAGATTATTTTTTGTATACATCATAATGAATAAAATATTAGGGGAATGGCAAAATAAAAAAACAAAATAGCTATTGAAAGTTATTCCTACAGTAAATTTTTTTCCCATAGCAAAATTTAGAATACTTTTTATTTTCCTACTTTCTTTTTTTTTATTTTTTTTTTTTTTATAGAGGCATGTTTTATTTTTATTTGTTTGTTTGTTTTGTTTTTGTTTATACATGCACTGGGTACAGTCAGAAGCACAGGAGGGTGAGAGAATTCACCAGAGCCAGAGCAGGGAGCAGAGCAGGCAGAAGGACCGAAGTACACTGCTGAGGGGAGCAGTCGGCGGCAGGAGAGGTCTGCGCGCCATGTGGGACCCTCCTCCGGTGGCTGGGGAGCAGCCGGGGATCGAACCGGCGCCGCAGAGGCCGCGGGCAGCTTCGCAACCCAGCGCTCAACCGCTGCGCCACTGGGGAGGCCCTTCCTACTTTCTTTTAACTTATCTACCCTCTTATTTTTATTTAAAATTTGACATATTTTTACCATAACTATATGTTCTTTTTTATTGCATACATACAGGAAACAGAAAAAAATTGAATCATCTCAGTTTTCCTGGAAGAAAAGAACCTACAACAAAAGACAATGATGAGTAAGTTTGCTTTGAAAATCATATACACCTGTCTTGAAAGCAAAGGGTCATATTTGCTAAAGTGATAGTTTGAGTAATCATTTCTTTTTCTTTTTTTTTTTTTAAAGATTTATTTATTTATGTATACAAGCACTGGGTACAGTCAGAAGCGCAGGAGGGTGAGAGAATTCACCAGAGCCAGAGGGGAGAGCAGAGCAGGCAGAGTGACGAAATATACTGCTGAGGGAAGCAGCGGGTGGCAGGAGAGGTCTGCGCGCCATGTGGGACCCTCACCCGGTGGCCGGGGATCGAACCGGGGCTGCAGAGGCTGCGGGAAGCTTCGTAACCCAGCGCTCAACCGCTGCGCCACCGGGGAGGCCCGAGTAATCATTTCTTGCAGTCAGTGATAGTGTATATACAAGTTGAAGTATTCTTTCATAAAGAAGTAAAATAATCTATTTGTGGTATGTTTGGCAGTGCTCATATAATGATGATAGATGATGATGATGATGCCTTCATTTTTATACTTGTTGAACCCCAGCCTATGCATAAGAGACCAGCTTAGAGTAAAACTAAGGAAAATACCCTTTTCAAATTTACATGGATGGAAATATGTTGTTTCCATCTATAGGATACATGGAAAGAAAGAAGTAATATGTTGTCTGAGAATATAATGTCTAACAAATAGCAAGCTCAAGGCAGAGCTAGAAACACAATGAAGCCAGCAGAGTAAGGGATCTCAAAGAATCTAGAAGGTTACACACCAGCAACCAACCATTTTCATATTGGCCTGCCACCAGTACCTTGAATGAAGATAGTATCCGCAGCAAGCAGCTGCTGTGTCTTCTGGAAAGAATGTATCTGTCCACTGAAGCTGAAAAATTAAATTAAGCAGAATAGGGGGTTAAATTTTCAAAGTAGTTCATACATTCAGCTCATTTACCCATTCAGCTGTATCTTCTGTGTGCTACACAGTATAATGAAATGATAAAAGATGAAGAAAATGAAGTTTATATGCATTGGGAACTTATGGTCTTATGTTGTAAATAAATATACCTTCCCCAATTTAAAAATGGGTTCTGTTTTGAAATGTTTTTTAAATCATTTGAGTGGAACTCAGAGTGCATTTTCCATGCAAATCGTGTTGTTGTAATTTGTAGTTATAATCCCAGATCAGCGTCACAAGTCTGTTTTTTAATGATGTTGCTGAACTATAGTATTAATCAAGAATAGTATAGATTAAAAGATGTGGGAAGAAGGTGCCATTTAGAGTACAAAGAGGATAAAAGAAAGAGTTTCTCAAAGAAATTTCCTTTTTTGGCATTTCCTATATCTATCACTGTACCCCTTTATCTATTTCTACTAGCTGCTTTTCCTACTATACTCCCTCCCCGCTCTGAAAATATTTTCATGTTCCCTACCCCATAAATATTTTTATTGTAAATTACTACTGATTTTCCATAATCAAAATTCCCATTTCCTCAGTGAAACTGATTTCAATGAGATATTAGTAGGAAAACATTCTTTTTTTTAACTTAACTCATTTAATATTTTTTAAAGTAAGCAATATAAGTATATAGTAGTAAATTCAAAATGACATACAGTGAAAGCAAGTGGCATGTAACAGTTGCTTTTTTTTTAAGATTTATTTTTATTTATGCATACAAAAACTGGTTTGTAGGCCAAAGGTACGGGGTTGGTGAGAGGATTCACCAGAGACAGAGTGGGGAGCAAAACAGGCAGATCTACTGAAATACACTGCTGAGGGGAGCAGCAGGCAAGACAGGAGAGGTCTGCTGCACCATGTGAGTTAACTCCCTGACCAGGGATCATACTCTTGCCTTAGTGGCTGGCAGTAGCTTGATAGCACTTAGACTTTAACCCCTGCACCACCAGGGGTTTATTTCCCTATCTCTATTTAATATCTCTTAATGTTTGTTTCTAAAGATTCCTTTTATTTACGTATATTACTCCATGACTTGATGTTAGAATTAGTAAAATATAAGAAAAGGTATTTTATAGCATATAAAAATTAGGCATTTCTGATAGTTTCTTCCATTCATTATAGAAGAACTCATTTAGTAAAGCAATTTTACTAGTTTTAGTAATGGGTTCTTTATTCTTTTTGTTTAATTTGTTTTATCATTTTGTAAAACCATCCTAAAGACTTGGGTTTTTAAAATCCTAAATTAAACTGAAGGTTTTACCTTTGTAGATCAAATAATCATAATTTTTTTTGTTTCAGCAATTATAGAGGGAAGTTTTCTCCATATAAACCAGTGATAACATCTATATGTAATATACTAATAACATGTTAATGTAATAATTAATAAACTGTTGACATAATAATTATCAATAATAATTAATATAATTATTATTATGACATAATAATTATCAATTGATAGTTGATCACTAGAAAATCATATAGAATGATTGATTATGAGGAGTTGGTTCATGCAATTGTGGAGGCTAAGTTCCATTACCTATCATATGCAAGCTGGAGACTCAGGAAGCCAGTGATAAAATTCCAATTCAGTCCAAAGACTGACGACAACCAGGGGAGCCAAAATTATAAATCTAAATTCAAGAGCCAGAAAAAAGCCATGTCCCAGGCCCAGTAGGCAAACAAGGAATGAACCCTCTCTTATTCCCTCCAATTTTTGTGATATATGGGCCTTCGAAGGATTGGATAATGCCTATCCACAATGGGGAAGGCTTTTTTTAAAAAATTTTTTTGGGTTACATTTTTATTCCTCCATTATGTGCACGTGTGGTGAGGGCATTCTGAATCAGTTATTGCTGAGATAGTTGCAGAATTCCTGGCTCCATCATTCCTTCTATTAGTTGACCTTTCTAAAATTCATGAGTTCATAGTGATATACTATTTTTCCTTACCTTCCCCCTTTTCGTGTTTGTACCCCTTCTCAAATAGTAGATCGCTGGCTCCAGTCAGCTGCAACATATTTGCACATTTGCTTGATCCTACAGTGCATACAGAATTCCTACATTCATAGCACTGCTAAAAACAAACCTGCTAAGCATTCAAGATTTATATGTAGTAATTTTAAGGCATATAGTTAAATTACTGTGTTCAAAAGGACATGGATTGTTCTTTGAAGTCTAAAATAACATTAAAATTATAATTTTTATTTAATTGAAAAATTAGTTATTACTTTGAAGTTGTTCTTTTGTTTGTTTGTATTCTAATCAAAGCTTTATAAACAAGTATACGCGAAGTGTCATTCCTTACCCTATGCCTTCAACCTACTCCCACAGATAATCAAATTCATTAGTTTACTTTTTCTGTGTTTATTTTTATAAAATAAAGCTGTTTTATTTTTTCTTATTTCTCTTCTTATACAAAGATGGCACACAATGTATGCTCTTTTTATACTTTCCTTTTTTCCCTTATAAATATATGCTGTACTCCCTATTAATCAACTTGTTTTAGAACATATTTTTTAAATGTTTTAAATGTAGGAATTCTTCCAACAGTAAAATACAATTCCATGTTAGAGGTTAGCAGTCTTTTCCCCCAAGGAAACAAGCAGTTAGTGACATGTCAATAAAACTCATTTATAAACAAACACCTACACATTAATATTTAATGTGAACTTCCATATCCTTTATGCTCTGAACAAAAAATACACTCTTTAATTCACTGCCATTGGCTTGTCCTCATCTTGGCAATTTGCTGCTGCTGCTGCTGCTGCTGCTAACACTGCTATGAATATGCAATAATAGTGACTAGCCTTCTATAAGGTATTTCATTAAACCTTTTATTTTCAGAAAATTGGAGAGACTAACATGCCATTGTTAGAAGTAAAACAGAGAGATCACATATACTTTTTCCCACTTTATAGTCACATAACATCTTGCAAAGCTGTTAGTACTTTATAAAAACCAGGAAATTTACATTAACATGATTACCTAATCTTTATTCAGTTTTAAGTTTTGCATATACTCATTTATATGTGTGTATGTGTACTTAGTCTTATGCAATTTTATCACATGATTAGATCATGTATCTATCACCCCAGTCAGGATATAGGATAGTTCTACCACCACAAGGAGCCCTCCGATTCAAAACAGTTTGTTTTTTTATTGGCAGAAGTAGTAACTTTTTTACATGTTAATTTTTTTATTTCTGTATTACTAATCTAAATAAAAATTTTCAAAGTCAAAGAAATTAATATGGAAGAAATTAAAAACATAACCAACACATCCTCCCCAATTTTGACTGAAGCATAAGAGTATCTTTGGGAGAAATGAGAGAACCCTGAATTTCACAGTGGGACTTTTCTGAACAAATTGGAAAAGGCAGCAAAAACCCTGAATTTTTGTCATGTGGCTTTCTCAAGAGAAAGTTGATAGTTAACATACCCTAAGAATCTGCCCTGAGCCCTGACAATTGGACTAAAAAATGTCAAGACTTGAACAATTTTTTTGGTATACCAGACCACCTAAACCATAGTTTCTTTTAAAGTATCTTAGAGGAATAACCCAGCCATTTTTTAAATACTAGATGCTGAAAAAATAGATGATACTGGATTTTTACTCTGCTGACCAAAAGGAGGGCCAAGACTTCAGATCTCTCAAGTTTTACTACAGAGATTTTTGGCCATAATGCAGTATATGATCAAACTTTATAAGGATGCCATGAAACTGGCAGAAGTCACTGAATATATGGATGCAGTACTAATTAATATCTGCACATTTCACAAGGGTCATTATAAGATGAAGGATTTGATCCGATGTAGTCCAGCAAGAGGCAAATCTGTTCAAGGAAGAAATAATGCCTTATAAAATATGAATGGCACCGACTGGTAATGTTTTTCATCACCAACTTAAAAGTGGTAGCAACAATAACTTTGGAATTTTATAACACAGTGAACTTGAGAAATGTATTCTATAGGCAGAAATAAAAGATTGTTGTTTTCAGGGCCTCCCTGGTGGCGCAAGGTGTTAAGCACGCACTATAAAGCAATCCGCAGCCTCTGCTGCATGAGTTCGATCCCCGGCCTGCCAGGGAGCAACCCACATGGCACAGCAGACCTCTCCTGTGTCGCCCACTGCTCCCCTCAGCAGTATATTTCAGTCAGTCTTCCTGTTCTGTTCCCCACAGAACAGATCTGTCTCTGTCTCTGTGGATCTTCTCACCACCACCACCACCCTGGATCTCTGGCCTGTGCCCCAGCTCTTGTATGCATAAATAAATAAATCTTAAAAAAAAAAAAAAGATTGTTTTCAGAGGTAAGTAAATTAGTGAAGAAACATCAAGATAATAAAGACCATTAAGCTCTAAACAATAATTCTTTTTTTAAAGATTTATTTATGCACACAAGAACTGGAATACAGACTAGAGATGTGGAGGGTAATAGGATTCACCAGAGACAGAGTGGGGAACAGAACAGGCATATTGACTGAAATGCACTGCTGAGGGGAGCAGCAGGTGAGTCAGGAGAGGTCTGCTGTGCCATGTGGGTAGCTCCCTGGCTGGATATTGAACTCATGCTATAGTGGCTGCAGATAGCTTCATAGGTTGCGTCTTAACCTCTTGTGCCACCAGGGAGGCCAAACAAATAATTCTGTCTTAGTGAACCAAAGTAGGACTTGAACCATCCTTTAAAAATAAGAAAAATGCTGTCAGCCACCATAAAACTCAGTCTCCAGCACAAGTGGAATTAAATATGTTTCTGAGAATACCATTTTGTCTAGGATGAATAATACAGTGACAACTGTACTTCCCCAAAAAGCTGCTCAGTAGGTTATTTACCTCCAAAGATTATGAAAGTTTCTCTACTGAGTAAGAAGATACAGAAAAGGAAATTATTCCCTAAAATTCTCAAAGTGGTTAAGAACCCATCCCATGATTTGGTTGCCATCAAAATGGAAGTAATTGATTTCATTTAGGAAGAAGTAAAAGAAGAAGGAAGTGAGGAAAGAAATTAAAGAAAAATGAGAAGCATGTCCACTTGGTCCTACAGTGGAGCTTTGGCATCATCTAGATATAATTGGGGCCTCCCCTGGTAGCACAGCGGTTGAGCGCTGGGCTGCGAGGCTGCCTGCAGCATCTGCAGTGCCGGTTCTATCCCCGGCTGCCGGCGAGGGTCCCACAAAAAAAAAAAAAAATAGATATAATTGATACTCATTCCATTTCAAGGGTGTCCAAACACTTTGCTTAGCTGTTTCCTTCAGTAACAATTTTAACTTGAGTCAGAGAGTTCCTAGTAAATCCTTTGGGGCTACTACATTGTACAACTCCTGGGGCCTTCATTTATATCTTACACTGTCTAACAGAGTCCTTTGGAATCACTCAAGATGACACCCTTGCCCATCCCACACAACTAACTCCCTGAGAGTCATCAGGAGGCAACATTAGTTCCTTAAGGTACAGTAAGACAATGTAAGAGACTCAAGTACTCCCAGGAAAGGGATGCAATGTAGAGAGACCCTCATATTCCTTTTTAACACTATAGTTTACTTGCCTTAGCTTAGCTTTGCACCCCTGAGGCAATAAGTAGAATTAGGCATAACATAGGAGAGGCTGGAGGTTTCAGCCCTGAGTGGGAGTCACGTAAGTCTTGCTCCCTCTAGCTTTCGGAGTTCAGTGAGAGGGATTTTGGGACATTATCTTTCAAACTGAGGTTCTGGTGCTAATTGGAACATTAGATAGGTAACTTTTAATTGAAAATACGTAATAATAAAGGAAATTTTTAAAAGAAAAATCAACACTATTACATAATTTTTAGTTTTTATACAATGCTCTATTTCTTACATATTTAGATATGTATTTAATTGAAACTATTCAAAATATTCATTGTATATGATTATTTGACATATATTTGTCTTTTTAATAGTGAGAAATGTTACTGGATAACACTGATGGGATTTTGAAAAGCATTTAAATAGATCTCCTAGTTTTTCTTATTAAATCAATAGTATAGATTTATGCTCTCTGAAACAATAGTCACTAGCCAGTCACACATAGCTAATGAGCATATGAAATGTGACTAGTCTAAAATGAGATGTGCTGTGAATATAAAGTACACACTGGATTTTGGGGAAAAAACAAAATATCATGAATAAATTTTGTATTGATTACATGTTGAATTAATACCTTGGATATATTGAGTTAAAGAAAATATATTACTAGGGGCCTTGCTGATGGTGCAAGGGGTTAAGTTCCAGCACTCTGAAGCTATCTGCAGCCACTGGAGCATGAGTTCGATTCCCAGCCAGGGAGGTGACCCACATGGTGCAGCAGACCTCTCCTGTCTCGCCCGCTGCTCCCCTCAGCAGTGTGTTTCAGTCAGTCCACCTGTTCTGTTCCCCATCCTGTCTCTAGTGAATCCTCTCACCCCCACACCTCTGGCCTGTACCCCAGTTCTTGTATGCATAAATAAATAAATCTTTAAAACAAAAGAAAATATAGTACTAAAATTAGGTTCACCTGTTTCTTTTTACTTCTTTTAATGAGCTACTAGAAAATTTTAACATATATGTGACTTAGATTATATTTCTATTAGACCATGGTTATATAGAACTTAAACTTGGTTATATAAGAACTTAAAATTGGAAGTTATAAGAACTTAAAATTGGAAAAGAACATAAAATTCCAACAATAAGGAAATGTAAAATCATCTTTGATATGTTTACTATGTTGGATATGTGCATCTTTCAAAATTAACCACATGGATGATGTGGCCAACACAAACACATACATATTCATATACATATACACATGTGCACAGTACACACACATCTATAAATGTAAAGGTTATGATATAAAGTTATATACATGATTTTAAAAAACAGAAAAAGAAAAATAATAATAATTTTAAAAACCTAAGAGAATTTTTCCAGATTGCTAACATGCTGACTAGAGGTATGTTTGGGAGGTAGAATTATCAGTGACTTTTCATTTTTTGAATTTAAGAGTGCCTTTGTATCCAGGAACAGACAAAACTAAACCAAAACAAACTTTAGAAACCTGACTGCAGAATTAAAACTGAGAGGGGGATACTGTGGGTGGGGAGGCAAGTGGATTATGGTAGTGGATTATTGATACTTTGGTGGTGGGTGTGACATCGTAACTAACATACACCTGAAGTGGTGTGAACCTGCACTTCTAAATCACATACAGTGTTGTAAATGAAAATACCTCAATAAAAAAAATACAATTACTTTAAAAATACACAATGAAGTACTACTCAGCTACACTAAAAAAAGAAAAGACAAACTTACATTTTAAACAACATGGATAAAACTTGAGGGGTTGACGCTAAATGAAATAAGTCAGAAGAGGAAAGATAAATACTGAATGGTGTCACTTATTTGTGAAATATAGAGAAACAAAACAGAGGGTCAGATAAAGCCAAACCAATAACAAACCCTAGAAATCCAACTGTAGAATTTCGGCTAGTGGGGTAGTAAGGGGAAAAGAAGAGGACAAAGGAGTGGGGGAACAATGCACTATGGTGGAGCACAATGGGTGCCATGGTGGTGGGTGTGATGTGGTTACAATACCTGAAGATGTTGATCCTATACCTCTAAATCATATATAGTATTGTAGGGCCTCCCCGGTGGCGCAGCGGTTGAGCGCTGGGTTGCGAAGCTGCCCGCGGCCTCTGCGACGCCGGTTCAATCCCCGGCTGCTCCCCGGCCACTGGAGGAGGGTCCCACATGGCGCGCAGACCTCTCCTGCCGCCCGCTGCTCCCCTCAGCAGTGTACTTCGGTCCTTCTGCCTGCTCTGCTCCCCGCCCTGGCTCTGGTGAATTCTCTCACCCTCCTGCGCTTCTGACTGTACCCAGTGCATGTATAAACAAACAAACAAACAATAAATAAATAAATAAAAACATGCCTCTATTAAAAAAAAAAAAAAAAAAAAAGATAAATCATATATAGTATTGTAAAACAGTGTTCCCTCAATAAAAAGATAAAATTTAAAAGAGTGCCTTTATATCTTTTTTTACCCTTAAATATTTTAAAGCCATAAGACATTTTATATATTTTTTAAAGACTTAGTTATTTATGAATACAAGAACTGTGATACAGGCTAGAGGTGCAAGGGGTGAGAGGATTCACCAGAGACAGAGTAGGGAACAGAACAGGCAGATTGACTGAAATACACTGCTGAGGGGAGCAGTAGACAAGACAGGAGAGGTCTGCTGCACCATGTGGGTATCTACCTGGCCAGCTGAGGATCTGCGGGGATCGAACTCATGCTACAGAGGCTGCAGATAGCTTCACAGTTCTGTGCTTAACCCCTTGCACCACCAAGGAGGCCCCATGTTTTATATTTTTAAAAAATCAAATCACTAGGTAGCACTAACTCTTAGACCTAGATCAAGGTAAATAAGATGAAGGTATATTAGTGTTTTAATGGTGGTATTATAGAGAAAGGCACATCGCTCAGTGGGGTTGAAAGTGAAACTCTGAAAGTTAGGGTGCTTGATTATATATATTGTATTTGTAAAGAAATGATTCAGTAGTAATATATCTTTTACTACTTTGAAAAATGTAAAGGATTAAAAACAATCTAAGATCCTTTAAAGAGAATTAAAGCTCTGAAAATAACTTGCCTTGTTTAAATGCTTGCTCTTGCTAACTATTCTTTCTTTGTTCATAGATTCTTGGTATTGTTATCTAAAGTAGAAAAATCATCAGAAAAAATCATGGAAATAGTGCAAAATTTAAGCAGTATCCAGGTTTGTTGGGTTTTTTTTATTTTTTATATGTGATTTTTCATACTTCCACTACCCTGTTTGAAAACAGGAGAAGTCCCAGATTTGTAGTCAATCCAGGAAAGAATTTACAGGCAGTAAGTTTAATTTAGTTTCATGGAAATTTCTTCTTTTATGAATATCAAATACACATAATATTTTATAACATCTGACTTTTTCACATTTAAACATAAATTTGTAGTCTTTGTTTAGTCCTTTTAAGTTATAAATTGTTTTAATTTGGGCATTTTTAAGGTTTACAATAATTTAAAAAAAGAAGCTTTATTTTCTAGTATAGAGTTTGAATTTTTCAGATGAAGGAAATATATTCTCACTAGAATTGTCAGTAACAGTCATATTTGTAAACAGTGTACTAACTCATTTAAGATGACTTTCTTTTAGGCTTTGGAGGGCAGTAGAGAGCTTGAAAATCTCATTGGTTTCTTCCATGCGCCACGATTCTTAAAAAGAGAGATGCAGAAAACGAAAGAACTAAGTAAGAAAAATTCATGAATTTTCACTGGTGTCTGTACTTGTTTTTAGATGTGTTTTAGGTGTGTTTTTAGATGTGTACTTTAATATATTTAATTTTAAAGATAAACTATCTTCCCCCCAATTTAATTTAGTACACTTCTTTATGTATGCCACTACTGGACATGTGATAGAAGTATTATTTAAAGAATTAGGGGGCCTCCCCGGTGGCGCAGTGGTTGAGCGCTGGGTTGCGAAGCTGCCCGCGGCCTCTGCGGCGCCGGTTCGATCCCCGGTCACCGGAGGAGGGTCCCACATGGCGCGCAGAGCTCTCCTGCCGCCCGCTGTTCCCCTCGCAGTGTACTTCGGTCCTTCTGCCTGCTCTGCTCCCCGCTCTGGCTCTGGTGAATTCTCTCACCCTCCCGCGCTTCTGACTGTACCCAGTGCATGTATAAACAAACAAACTAAATAAATAAATAAATAAATAAAGCATGCCTCTATTTAAAAAAAAAAAAAAAAAAAAAAGAATTAGGAAGCCTTCTTTATCAGGATATGATATTTCAGGAATTCTTCTTGAATGTGAAGGTAAAGAATGTACAATGGAAACTGGCATTAGGTTTTGTCAGTGCACTCATTTTAAAAAATAAAACGAAAGTTATTCCATTTTGTACTTAATACCTATAAATTATTCAAATTATTTTTTTCTCGTGAAGTTGTTCTTCCAGGATGGGAAATGATTCAGAGTTCCTGTAATTATTAACATGAGTTGTTTTTTTTTTTAAGTGAGAAAAGCAATGAAAGAAAAGCTGTTTGAAAAGAGTCCAGAACTTCCTAACAAAGGTAGGGTTGTGTTTAAATTATGTGAGATTCTTTCATATCCTTTCAACCTTTAGAACTAATCATCATGAATCCTTTTTTAGTGTGTTCTTTTAAAAGGCCATGAATCTCATTTGAAAAATTTTATATTGCAAAAAAGACTACTGTATGGTTTTTTGTTTTTATTTTTCTTTACATTTTAAAAGGACAGCCTTATTAGGAAAAGAGAAAGAAAGAGAGGCACCTGCATAGTCACACATGGCAGGAGAACTGCCACTCCTGTTTTGCAAAGGGAAAAGGTTTGTGGAAAGAGTGATTTTATCTTTTTTTTGGGGGGGGTTAATATTAATTTTATTTTTATATCATTGTTCATTTTTAAACAATATTTGCTTCCCCTACCCTCTCAGGTGTAGTTCCCATGGAATTTCCTTCCCCAATGCACCCGTGCACCATCACCTCAGTCCCCTGTGCTCCTCCCTCCCTCCCTCTCCCTCTGATCCCTCTCCCCCCTCCTCCCCTGCAGGATGTCTCTGATTTATAATTGTCCGTTTTTTGCTTTGTTGTGTTTTGTACTGCTACTTTTTTTTCCACTGATGTCTTATTGGGTTCCCCTATATTCCTGTTATAAGTGAAACCATCTGATATTTTTCTTTTTCCTTCTGGCTTATTTCACTGAGCATAATTCCTTCTAGTTCCATCCACGTTACTGAAGAAACACTTTGCTTAAGGGTTGCACAATTTTACGCGAGTAAATTTGAGTTTTCCCACTCCTTTGGAGTTAAACTGAGTGATTATCAGTTTCCAACTATATTTAGCTCCTGGTCAGAATTTGAGAAAATGAAAACCTAACTAAAACAGGTGAAAGTTCCCTGACCATTCTGGTGAACACACACAGGGAAGGAGAAAAGAAAGCGTGGAGGGAGAGGGAAAAATCTTATATTGCATTTAATACATGACCATGTCTGGTGAGATAACTTCCGTGATTGTACTTTTAAAATACCTTTTGAAATACATTTCAGTTTAAGATTTAAATTTTGCCTTTTTATTCAAAATTCTTTTGAGAATACAAATAGGGGTAACAGTGTATTAACAAATGACAGCTTTAATGGTGCATTAGGGTAAACAGAAGCATAAAATGTTACTTTGTAACTGGTACCCTGAAAACTTTCAGATCATTAATGATATTTGATCTACTGTAAACTCTTATGTCTCTGAGCATTTCACAGTATGGGAAACTAAATTGGCAGGTTGTTAGTCCCATAGCATATGCACATCTATACCTCAGTAAGCAAAATAATCACTGAATAAAATCTTCAAACTTTTAGACAACTTAAGAGGGATCATTTTAATATTACTGACATGAATGGCTTTTCGCAATCCCTATAGAGGTAGGACTTGAAATGGGTAGCCATATTTTAGTCTACCGTTTTTGAATACCAATGACTACCATTTATTGAAAACCAATAATTACTATGTTCCCTATACTAGAATCAGTAGATCATTACAGTAGCTTGCAAGACAGCTATTAACATTGTCTTTATAGATAAGGAACAAAGACACACAAAATGTTAACTTGTTCAAAGGCACTGCTTACTTATGTGTCTGACTTAATACCTACCTCAAAAACTGGTGTTTGTTTTTTATTATCCCATGCTTGCTCTTCCTAAAAGAAATGAAATCACCCAGTCATCCCAGCTTTCAGATTCAGACATTAAGCATAACTGAAACTGATTCAGGCAATCTAGTCTGTTAGAATGGGATTAGGGTCTTTACTATACCAGTGATGATTTTTCAGTGGAAAGTGCTGTGATTCCCTGCTGGTCAGTTCCAGAGGACACTGGGTCATGGCAAGACCCTCCAAGGCTCATGTGGGAAGGGAGCTGAACAGGCTTCCTGAGCCTTTCTGCTGAGCAGCTAACTTCTGTGGCTCTTGTAATTTAAGAATATGAAAATTAAATCTTTCTTTGAAAGACTTGAGATGCTATATGACTTGGATAGACTGTATGACTAAGTTTCAGTTTCTCTAACTTGACAAGTTTTAGAGGATCATAATGGGAAATTAGAATGTTTATCTCTTGACTAAAAGAAGTCTTTCTTCTATATTTTCTATGCCAATAGTGTGATATTTAAAAAACATGTAATTTATAGAATTAATTATAATCAGATATAGTTGGCATTTGACAAGTTTTGAGAAATGAGGAAGAGAAAATTATAGAATAAGTGAATTATCAATGCTGATGATTAATGGGTATATTTTTCAAAAGTATAATTTCCTTCCCAAAATATTAAGACACTAAAAGGCTATATTCCATGTGTTGAGGTAATTATCCCTTTTAGTTATCCAGTTATACCAGTTATTTGTATGTTTGCACATGATAAGCCTTAAAACTACTTTGTAGTATTGTAAACATTAAAACCAATGTACCCATTACCAGGTTTTCCCTTAGAACTCAGCGTTTATTCATGTATAGAGGAAATTATATTATTAAATTGTTTCAAAATTTATAATAAGCATTGATTATCCCTTGTGGTTTAAATGAAAACTGAGTTATGGTATACAAAATATATATCTATTAATATATGACATGTGGCATTAATATATAATCTGTCATGTTACATATAATAGATAATATATATTTTAGAGTGTCATTTTCTATTTCTGTTTCTTGGCAAGACCTGTATTAGCTCTTTATATTCCTTAGGTATTAAAGAATTCATTAGCTTCTCAACTAATTCTTAAAAGTAATGTCTGAAAATCAGATTGAAGCTTATTTTCTTTATAATTTGAGTTTGTTATATATTTTTATATAACTTTGTTATATAAAAACAAAGCGCTTTCCCCTCCTCTTTCTCTGGTTCTTTATATATATTTATTTATTTATTGATGGTTTGTTTTTGTTTGTCTGTTTGATAAAGATGATGTATACCAACACATGTGCATACATATGTAAATTGTTTTACTAAGTTACTAACTTTCCATTGTATACATACATTCATTTTAAGAGGACTTTGCTAAATTTTTTGACATCTCAAATTAATATGCTTTACATGTTCCTTATTTGGGAACCTAACCTTTAGTTTTTTATAGAATTTTCTTTATTACTGTTTTTCTTTTACTAATCTATTGCCCAGAGTTGTTTAAATTTTAAAATGTTTTGGAATTTTCATAATATTAGAAATTGTATAGCTAGAAATCAAATAATATAAAATTCAGCCCTTTAAATTTTGGATTTATTAAATAATTATGAAAATGAGAGTAAACAAATTACTTGTTTCAGTGTCAAAAGACTTATCCCCCAGATTTTTTTTCTCTTCAGATTCTTGTAAAATTTTTCTAGGATACTTAAAAAGAGACTAGACCAGCAAAGATCCAACTTTTGTGCTGTCATTCATTGCCCCTTCAAATCAGTACTTTGGTTTTTCACTTCAGTGCTAGCTTGTTTAATCTCATTTGCAGTTTTTTTTTCTAGATGGGAGTATAATTGCTAAGTTTTAAATAGACATCTGATGCACATTACTAAGATTTTATAGAATTCATTCAAGAGAAATTTAAAATATGTACAATGACATGAAAATGTATACTGAGGTTTTCAAGATTTTCAGAAGAACTGGACCTTTAAATCAGAAAATTCTTCATAGGGCTTATGGATAAAAGAGGATGTCTTTTGCTAAATACAAATTTCTTAAACAAAGAAAGGCTTCTGTTTCCAGTTATTTAGGATGTAAGCCTAACTTCACTTTCCTTAATAATATTGGCTTTATGACTATTAGGAAAATAACGATATGAAAGGTTCTTCTTCTGTTAGATTTGAATGTGAATTTTCATTATTATTTTTAATTTGTTATGCTGAAAATTTAAAACATATGACCATTCAATGAGTTGATACAGATGGAATGTCACATTATCATCACATGGTAAAGCATGAAATTATTTACTTTACGTAATCAACCTCTACTTAAAACAACTTGAAACAAATATTCGTGAGTCAATAGATGGCATTATGTAGTACTTACTATTTTCATTTTTTATGAAGAATTAGAAAATGCCATCATTGTTTGTCTGTGACTAGAACTTCCAGTAAACAAAATGTTTTTGAAAAGAATGTAAGCAAATTGTAGAGCAGTTGCCAAGACAAGAAATCGAGACATTTAGCTTTAGTCCAAAACATATTATCTGTTTTGAGAATAATTGTGTAGGTTGTAGTATGCATATTTTAAATGAAATGTAGCCATCTGAACTTTACATTGTTCAAAAAGGTTAATTGTTTCACTGTTTATCATACAAAATATTTTGGAATTTCTAGCTCTGACCTTAAAAGAAAAGCACAAACTATAATGTTTCTGATTTCTTTAACCAACTTACTATGTTCTTAGATTGTAAACTTCATCTTAGTTAATGGTTTTAAAGTTTTCAAATTTTTGGACTACACTACAAGATAAATTTTAAATTCCTCCTGTTCTAAGACTGTCAAATAGTTTGATATTATCTTTTCATTCTAACCACCCACTGAAGTATTTTTTTCCCACTGAAGTATTTTTTAACTTAAAAATACATTGTTCTTTATCCCACTCTATGTTGAAAAAAAATTCATCCTATTAGGTAAATAATTTTCCTCCTAGAACACTGGAGTTTTTTTCTGTTATATCTTAACATTGAACAGAGTGTTTTTTCAAATAAATACTTCAGTTTTTAAAACAGTGAGTGTGAGGTTTAAACATGATGAGTTTTAAGGGAAACAACTCCCTCTTATACTTTAATACTCTTGGTTTATCTGGAGATTGAAAATTAAGATATTAGTTTTAGTGACACAAACATGCATTAGTAGACAACTTTTTCTCCTTAAGTCTTCATAAGGATGCAGCTGTCATTTATGCTGTGCTATGTGGGTCATACTTTTCTTTTTAATAATGTTAATGCTCTTGTTCTACATTAGTCATCACCAGGAGATACATTTCAACTGCTTACTTGAAATTTGGCTAGAATTTAAGGGAAAAAAATGGTTTATTTCAATCTTCTATGATTTAAATATCTTTAACTTCACTAGAAATGATAATTTTTATCGTTTAAATCAGTAAAAAAAATTAAACCATAGATTTGTACTTAATAGCAATTATAGGTTTAAAGGGTATAAATAACTTGCTATCAGACATTACAAATATCCAGGTGCTCTGTATGTGCTGATGACAACAAAATTGAAACGAAAGACTGTAATAATTCTGACTGGTTTTCTCTGCAGAAGATATTGATTATTTGTGTGTGGTGAGAGATTTGGAAAATTCAATTAAAGGAGTTGTGCAAAGGTTTCATAAATTTTCCTTCTACAGCATGTACACAGACATTGTTGCGTATTAAATCAATGCAGCACTTCACAATATATTTTCTTTGAAACATAAAAATAAATAACATTTAAACAGTTCTGCTTACTACAGAAACAAATTTTATTTTCTGTGAAGCATTTAGTCATGTGCTATCACTGACTCATACACATTTGCCAGCTGTAACAAATTTTATAGACATTTTCTCCAGAGACATATCTCACATACTATGAATTTTTAAATGAGCAAATGGTGAAGAAGGGATGTCAGCAATATAAAAATTGATCAGTTAAAAGATAAAAGCATAAGTAAAGAGATTTGTATGGTAGTCTTAATAGGTTTTATTAAATAAAAATACTATAAAAAGACAGTAATGAATAGACTGAAGACTAACTGTTCTTGAGGTGGAGAAAAAATATTCTGGCACATTAAGTAGAAATTGGTTTTGCGCCACCTGACAGGTGAACATTTTTTTTCCATTTAACTCTTAAAGTAATCAGAAAAAAACCCTCAAAATAGAGATAGATAAATCCTCTATGTAAGTGGTTTATATATGTTAAGTACATACATATAATAATAAAGCAGATATTTTTTAATATTATATAACTAATTGTAGTTACAAGTAGAACTTGTATAATAAGTAAATAAGATGATTTTCCTTCAGCACCTCAGCTAGGAGGCAAGTAGTTATTTTAACTCATACTTTACGCACCATATGCTTCAGCCTTCTAGAATCTCTCAGAATTCCAGACCTGTCTACTGCTTCACTCTCTCTGGATTTCTTTTTCTTTCTTCTCTGTCTAGCAAATACCTGCTCATTCTATAAGATCAGTTTCAGATGTCATATCCTCTGTGAAATAATCCCCAGTTTGCCTCGGTAAAGCTAAATTGCTTTATCTCCTAGGCTTCTGCAACACTTGCCTGAATGTTTATGAATGTATCTTATAATATGGTGGTGTATTGCAATTATTTAGTTTCAGGGCTCTTTCTGGACCCCTCCTTGGCAAGCAAACAGTCTTTCTATACTGTAGCCCCAGAATCTAGTACAAACCCTGGATAGAAGATCCATAATGCACATTCAGCAAATGAATGAAAACAAGTGGCTATTTTAAAAATTTCTTAAAGGAATTATCTAAATATATTCAAATACATATAAATTTCTATCTCCTTATTTGCCTCATTCATTTACTATTTATTGAGTTTGACCTTGAACCAGGCAATGTTCTAATATTCCAAATACACTAATGAGCAAGTCTGACATAGTCCTGCCCTCAGGATTATAGAATCTAGCACAAAGGACAAGTAATTATATTAAAGCATAGCACACTATAATTATAAATTCCTGTGTGGTTTTTATTCTACATTTTTAAATATACATTCTGAATCAGAATAAGGCAACCCAGTATAATGTTAAAAAGAGAATTTGTACCCCAAAGATGTTATTTATAATGTAAAATAAAACATTATATTGGTGTTATTTATTTTAATTTTAATTTCCTTTTGATTCAACAATTATTTGGTCTCATACTATGACAGCTTACTCTGAGCTGTTTTCTGAAAATATTCTTTTTTCTTTCATGTAGAATTATGTCATCTTGACAGCTATGAATTCCTCAAAGCCATCTTAAACTAAGGTACTGTTTCACCTTTCTAATTAAGTCTAGCTTTGTTAAATTTCACTGTTTTGTTCAGCTGGAAATTTTACTTACACTATCAGATTTGGTACTGTTTATCTGTAAGAAAAATAGGGACATGAGCTTTAGAGTTTTCATTGAAATCATATTTAATATATTCTTTTTTTAAGATTTATTTATACAAGAACTGGGGTATAGGCCAGATGCACGGGAGGGTGAGAGGATTCACCAGAGACAGAGTGGGGAGCAGAACAGGCAGACTGATGAAATACACTGCTGAGGGGAGCAGCAGGCAAGACAGGAGAGGTCTGCTCGCCATGTGGGTTGCTCCAAGGCTGGCGGGGATTGAACCTGCACTGCTGAGGCTGCGGACAGCTCCATAGCGCTGTGCTCAACTGCCTGCGCCAGCAGGGAGGCCCCATATTTAATATATTCTTGTAGACAATAGAAGAGCAACCTGACAAGATCTGAATTATACACTTATTGAAAAAGAACACTAGGGCCTCCCTGGTGGCGCAAGGGGTTAAGCACCGCACTATGAAGCAATCTGCGGTTTCTGCAGCAGGAGTTTGATCCCTGGCCAGCCAGGGAGCAACCCATTAGGCAAAGCAGACCTCTCCTGTCTTGCCTGCTGCTCCCCTCAGCAGTGTATTTCAGTCAGTCTGCCTGTTCTGTTCCCCACTCTGTCCCTGGTGATCCTCTCACCCTCCCCCACCCTGCATCTCTGGCCTGTACCCCAGCTCCTATATGCATAAATAAATAAATCTTTATAAAAAAATATTTTAAAAGAAAAAGGACACTAACCCACCTGACCAGGCTAGCTTTAAAAGATATATTTTTAAGTGAGTATAAATTGAACACCTGTAGTATAAATAGCTAACTAGATACTGACTGGTGGGTTATAGAATCGTAGGGCACTTCTCTCTAAACAAGATAAAGCAAATCTATGAAGTTGGAAATGTGCTAAATTGATTAAATAATTTATGTATTACTTAGTTGGACCTTCAAAGCAATTCCTATGAATTCAGAAGTATGTTAAAATATTTTTATAAATAGCTTATTATAATGTATTAGCTTGAAGGAATACAAGTTAATATGTGTTATTATTATTTAGTGAACCTGTAACTAAAGGTTCACATTAAGAACTAGCATTACCCCAGACTTAGTGGCATTAATATTAAGACTCTTTAAAGCTGACCAGATGTTGCTTACTATCTCTTAGAAAACAATACAAAATGAAAATTCTATTCTATCCTGAAAATACATTTCTTTGGAAACTACTTCATGGGATTAATATTGACTTCCTAATAAATTAGCATCTTTGTGAAATATTTATACAGAAATTAGATAAATTTGCAAGACTTTTTAAATAGAAAATTATCTCATTCTCATTCATTAAAATGTCCATTCTGTTGTTATACAACAAATAATAGCTTATTACAATAACATCTATAGCACTTTCTGTGTGCCAGGCACTATTGTAAGTACTTCATACATTTCCCACTTAACTTTCACAACAACTAATTATTTTATAGATGAGGAAACTGTAACACAAAGGGGTCATGTACTTTGTCACAGAATCACCCAAGAGACCAAGCCAGGATACTAACCCGAGTAGTTTGGTGCTAGAGCCTGTCCACTACACAGTAGTGAACTATGAATTTCAGGTTTCATTGCTGGTCAGATGTCCTATTAAATAGTTAAGATATAAAATGTATACACACAGACACATTTATTCATTCTAGGATTAAACGGTTAATTCTAGGATTAAACATAAAATTTCAGAACTATAAGATGGTGGTCATAAATATATATTGTTATACATTTGGCAAATCAATATACACCTTTAGTAAATGGCAGTCTCAGTGGCCTTTGGGGAACTTAAAATATTGGGAATAGTTTTGTGTTCATGGGTTCTTACTAAAGAGCTTCACAAGTTAACAGTGTTCTTTTAAGTCTCTGAGTAGTACTTTCAGAAAACTTGAAAGGATTAAGGTTAAGGAAGGAATTGTCAACTTCCTTTTTATTGGAGAGCAACAGAAAAAAATGACAGTGAAATAAAACCTGACTTCACCTTTGAGGCATTTCCCTGGGTTCTTCTTTTTGACTGTGTTTTCTTCTTACTTTGGGCACTTCATGATCTCTTCCATTCCTTTGACTTTAGTTCTTATCTTAGTGTATAAGGTCTCCAAATCTATTTATGAGCCTTCTCCCTCAGCTGATATCCACAATCTCATTTGGTATACAATGTCCCCCAATATGTTGAACTCATAATTTTCCCCCAAAATTTTTCTTCATTTACCTTTCTGGAAATTGCATTCATTCCAATGATATGGTTCAAAATCTCAATTCTCTTTTTTTTGCCCTTCACATCAACTTCCACCATATCACTTCTGAAAAAGTTTACTTCTCCTTTCCATATCACCTGCACTATTTTATCCCTTTATTACTTCTCATCTAGATTATCATCATTCCCTTTATAACCCGTGTCTCTTATTTTTGGTCTCTTGCCCCCATAACCTGTCCTGCTACTGCTTTAAAAAGTATTATTTCACCATATTCAAAGTAAAATCCCAATTTATAGTGATATTTAGAACTCTCTTATATGACCACAGCTTACCTTTCCTGTTTTTCCTTGTACTTCAGTCACTCCAGGTTACTTACCATTCTCTAGACACATGGCTTAGAAAGTGCCTTTCTTTTCCCCTTACCTCTGTTCTTCTCTTCTTTGCATGGCATATCTTTTCTTCCATCCTCAAAATATCACCAATCTTTCAAAACCTGCTTGTGATTCATCTTATGCTAGGCTTCCTCAGATCTCTCTCTTCCACATCCTTTCATTGGTTTTCTTTTGTGCATTTATCATAGTTACCCAACTGACTAAAGGAGGGTATTACACTCCCTGACTTTATGCCCTAGAAACTTCTAATAGGCATAGTACTCCTGGATACCACTTTGGCCAACTTCCTTTTTGCACACCAATTCCTACTCTCTCTCACACTTCAGGGATTATGTCTCCCGTACTGTGTTATTTAGTGTGTGAGGAGGTAGGAACTACCCCATACAAATTCATTTGCTTTACAAAGCAAAAAACCTTTATAAAATGATGTGAAAATAAGAGAGCTAAAAGGGAGACAGCAATCCATAGGCCACAAGTAGTACTAAGTCCAATAAAGGTGTTTAGGAGAAGTAAAAGAATGATCTTCGCTATCTTCCCTAATGTTAACAGGGATACTGCAGGGGGTACAGTGATACTTTATCTAGATACAATTTGGATAAATCATTTGGTAAATAAAAGTATGAAGCTTAGTATAAACAAAGCACTGTGCATAATGCCAACCTTTTGTAACCTAGTTATCAAGTTAAGGACACAAGATTTATATAGTATAAACAAGAATCAGTAAAGAATAAGCAGTAATATAGGAATACACAGCAGACATAGATTACCTCAGGATGGAGTGATTAGGTCATTTTTAAAGTTTCATGATTTTAAAGTTGCAGTTATTCTCTATATTATATTGGATTAAGTGCCACTTAGACCCTAGAATGGAAACTATACTTTTCTAGGAAGCAGGAATTGAAAAATGGGTAATTTTGACAGTCTGTGGAGACCTTTGCAGAGAACAACTTGAGCAAAAAAGGCAGAGTAACAGAATGGTGGAAAGGTAGATTCAGGTCACGTCACTGACAGGATCACCATGCTAGTAAGTTCAGACAATTCAGAAGTGGATCAATGAAGATTAGATAAGTAACAATACAAAATATGTTTTATAAAAAATATAATTGCCATATCAAGAATGAATCCTGTCAATATATACTGCTTATGAACTCCATCACTGAATCTAAATTATTTTCATTTGTATTATGAGATATTCATCTCTAGAACCAATATAGCAGTGCAGAAATAACAAACATGCCGCCACTCCCTACTCTTGTGCTATGACATTCACACAGATCAAAATATTTTTGCTGGACCCTAAATTTGACATCAGTCTTTCTCAACAGTTTTAGTAGCCATGGTCAGTTGAAAATTCTTTGCTAAAATTTAGATTAGATATCCAACACTAACTCTACTACCTACTTAGCTGTGTGATTGCAAACAAGGACTTGGTTCCCCTAAAATGGGACTGATAATATTTACCTTGTGGGATTGTACAAAATTATTAGCTTAATTAGTACCCCCCCCATAGTAACTGTTTAATAAATTATAGTCTTCCTTTCCTTTATAGTATTATCATTAGTTCTGATAACCTATCAGGGTATTAAGAGTGTTTAAAAGCCACAGGAATTCAGACCAGACTCAAACAAGGCTTGGCAAGTTGGTTGTCAGGTTGGCAAACTGTCTTCTAGGTGGGTGGATTCTGGAGAATGGGTAAAGATACGGGGTGTCGTTACTTCTGCACAGCTGCTGATGTAAGCAAGGAAGAGGTATTTAAGGAGTGAATGGTTCACATGCCCTATGGGAATATGTGCCAGCAGTGCTAGTGAGTGACTGCTTTCTTCAGAGGCTTTCTCTCACAAAAGGGCCAAACAGACAAGAACTTATACCACCACTAGGAGTCCCCATAGGGACATAATCTGAATAGGAATGTCCACAAATACTGTCTTTTTGGCCGAGGGGGGGGGGGGCAGCTGTTGGAGAAAACACCTGCTAAAAGGCCCTGAGGCTTATAGACAAAAGGCATGTAGATTTGGTGGTTTCAGTAAGTCATTTTGGAGTTTTAGAACTTTCTCAGATGTCTCTCAAGAGCCATCTTCATAGTCTGAAACATGCTATGTAAGAGTATTCATATTGACAATTTTTTTCTGAAGATGAATCTCACTTAAGACTCAAAATTAAGGGCCTCCCTGGTGGCACAGTGGGTTGAGCACCGCACTGTGAAGCTGTCTGCAGCCTCTGCAGCACGGGTTCGATCCGGCTGGCCGGTGAGAATCCCACATGGCGCGGCAGACCTCTCCTGTCTTGCCCGCTGCTCCCCTCAGCAATGTATTTCAGTCAGTCTGTTTGTTCTGCTCCCCGCTCCGTCTCTGGTGAATCCTCTCACCCTTGCGCACATCTGGTCTGTACCCCAGTTCTTGTATAAATAAATAAATCTTTAAAAAAAAAAACCTCAAAATTAAGCAATTGAGAAATCATCAGTCTAAACTAGGTACCAAAGTAAATAGTAGACAGTGTTTAAATCATTTCCTAAGTCACATATGAGATGCATATTAATTTGAAAACTAATTCTTGATTTAATAATCATCTTTTATATCCCACAGGCATTTAGAAGAAATGCATTCACTATGAACACCAACTTCTGCATCTGCCTGATCATATTTAAGGGAACAGAAGAAATGTTTGTAATTAATCTGCCCAGTAAATACCAGCTCATAGCACTAGGCAGGTGCATGTCTAGATAAAATTTCTTGCAGCTAATTTAAACTTTCTACACACACCAGTAGATAATCTCAATGTAAATAATACATTTCTTCTTGACCCTGTAATGTAAGCGAACATGTAGAAGAGAATCTTGACTTAAATATTCTGTATCATGTACACTTCTATATACTTGTAGTATCTGTACTTATTAATAAAGCATTTCTGAAAATGGCACCTCTGGTAGAGGTATATATTTTAAAACTCAGACTAAATCTAGTAGTGAGTGTAATTAGGTACCAGTTTCCCACTTAAAGCCTCAGATGTGTTAGATTCTTATTGAAAAGAGCAACTGTTTCAGAGATGGTTTTTTTTTTTTTTAATAGAGGCATGTTTATTTATTTATTTGTTTGTTTGTTTGGTTTGTTTATACATGCACTGGGTACAGTCAGAAGCGTGGGAGGGTGAGAGAATTCACCAGAGCCAGAGTGGGGAGCAGAACAGGCAGAAGGACCGAAGTACACTGCTGAGGGGAGCAGCGGGCGGCAGGAGAGGTCTGCGCGCCATGCGGGACCCTCCTCCGGTGGCCGGGGAGCAGCCGGGGATCGAACTGGCGCTGCAGAGGCCGCAGGCAGCTTCGCAACCCAGCGCTCAACTACTGCGCCACCAGGGAGGCCCTCAGAGATGGGTTTTTATATCTACTTATTCCTATGTTCATAGAGAAAAAATATTTTGTTTTAAAATTTTCATATCTGTTTATAAAATATTGGAACCTATTTTTTAGTACCTTTAAACATGAAGTTGTTTTTAAACTGAACTATGCAGACTACTGGACCTAAAGAAAAGACCTTACATTTGGGGCAGTATGTGATCCCCTCCAATTATTTTGAAGCATTCATTGCTACTTTTCTATGCTGTTTATATCATCACTTGTGCTATCACAAAACAAAGGCAAAAAGGGAATCATAATATGTGTTATAATTTGATAACACATTATTTAAACATTTCTACATTTTTATTTTTTACTATTTCCACAGGGAGGTAAATGCTGTCCCATACTTAAGTACTTGCCTTAAGTCTTGACAAAATTAGATTACCGGGCCTCCCTGGTGGCACAAGAGGTTAAGCATCACATTTTGAAGTAATCCACAGCCTCTGCAGCACGAGTTTGATTCCCGGCCGGCCAGGGAGAAGCCCACATGGCGAGGCAGACCTCTCCTGTCTTGCCTGCTGTTCCCCTCAGCAGTTTATTTCAGTCAGTCTGCCTGTTCTGTTCTCTACTCTGTCTCTGGTGGATCATCTCACCCCACCCCACCTCCCCACCCCCGCATCTCTGGCCTGTACCCCAGCTCTTGTATGCATAAATAAATAAATCTTTAAAAAAAAAAGATTATCATGTCATCTAATTCTGTGTATCATGAAAATAAAAATACTGTATAAAAATTTAACAAATTAAAGTTGAAGATAACTAGTTTTTCATTAGAAAAATTTCAGTTACCCCTTGATACAAAAATGAATCATTCACAAAAAACTATTTAAATGCTTCACTATTTAAATGACAGATACTAAGCAACAACCAAATTATCAAGCCTAATTGCCTTCACTAATGATTTTATTGGTACTTTTTAAGATTTTTAAGATAATCTATTTGTTAAATATTAAGAACACTGTGATAGTCCTTACAGTGGATGTTACCTAAAATATACCAAAAAGCATAATTCCTTAGTGTCCTAGCATTGAAAACTAAGCTTAGGATATGACAAAATATATAAAGAAATCTACATTAGTAGGAAACAAAGGGTTAAGAGGTAAGTTGGTTTCATATGTAATCCAAGTTATGTAGGTATGTGCTTAATGCTATTAAATCAGTTACTGTATGTTTGACCTCTTGGTATACTAAGCTTTTGCCTTTCAGAACAGCTGGGTCGGCTAAGAATCATTTCCCAGTCTCTTCATTGTAGATCAGATGACTCTCGCTTTATCACCCTTGGAGGCCACATGAAGGACAATGCAGGAAGATCCACACACAAAACTAATGTTTATATGGGGGGAAGGAGGGAAGCACAGGAGGGGCTGGTGAGATACACTTGGCCCTGATCTTCCAATGAACATAACAGGAGAAACCAATTGAGACTTAAAACCATCGTCTTACTCCAACCATTATTCAGTTACATCCTATCCATCTCTACTACTTTTTCTATTGAACAGAGATGCTCCTTTGGCTGCCTTGACTTTTGTAAATGTTTCACTCACTTAGTTATGGTTTATCATTTGGACAGAATGCTACATCGGGGATTTTTCGCCCCTCCTTAAGGCCTCAAAGGAAAATGACTTTTGTATGCTTCTTATGTGATACATTTGATACACCCTATTCTCTTCATTTTAAGAAGCAGACCTAAGTTTATTGGCAGCGGAGAAAACTGCATTTCTCAGAAACATTCTTCCCTCTAAACTTGAAAATATGTGAGAAGCTATTTGATAGGTGTATTAGTGAAGAAAGTGAAAAGTCTTTAATAGTGTTACATGACCTAAATCTTTATGTTAAGACATTCCTAGTATCCTGAGTTTGAGAGAAGTAGTCTGGAATTGACTACTTCTGTGATCTTAACTCATCACTGGACATCTTGAGTATTTTGAAACCTAATCGCTCTAAGTTCCAAATAGATTTACAAGTTTACATAAAAGCTATGATTTAACTCAATGTGGTTCGAGTAAATCATCTGGAAAATGTTTTGTTTGCAAAATTTGCCTGTAAGAGCTGGAATATGGGTGCATTCTATTGTACTAATGTCTATAAAATATTTTTGTTTTCAAGTTATGCTTCTCTATTCCAATTATTTAGAAGTTAAAACTTCCTCATCATTGACTTAAAATAATATCCTGTGTTAAAACACAAGTATACTATTACAAAAAAAAATAAATAAATAATACTATACTAGGCAGCCAAGATGCTGACATTTGGGCACAGTGATTACAGATGGTGACCATGGACAGCAATGTTCCTGCTGATTCGGCAGCCATTCAAGGCTGCTTTTCTCAGCTGACCTGCCCTTTGAGTCTTTATGCACATTTGCTTTGAGAATGAAATACTTCTTGATTTTTGCTTTGTCTAAACCTACTTCCTCTATCAGACTTAGATATACCTTCTTCCATCAGCCTGTGGCTGTTCATGTCTAGAACCATTTTTTTTTCTTTATCTGTGTATGTATTTGGCTTGCACTGTAGCTTATTTAAAATAAAACTACCATTTACTTAATATATTTTAATGGCTATCTTATGAAAGAAACATATTCATTAAAAATACAGGTTGATGGGCAAATTATTTTATTTTTATCAGAGACTAAAAAAAATCTTTACATGAGAAACTACAACATGGTATAATACATTAGTTTTACTAATTGAATACTAAAGAGAGGCTTTTTGCTAATAAAAGAGTAATACAGTATGAACAAGGCCAAGTTAACATGAAACATAGTATGAATTAATGCTCATGGCAGTGATAACCTTGAACCTTGTCATAACAACAACAACAAAAAAACCAGAAGTATGAAATCCTTTGTATGGTCATTTAACTAAAGAATGACCCTGGAAGTTTAAAACCTAGTGGTTATAAGTAATTAAAAAGATTTCACCAAACCACTTAGATTTTTTTTTCCAAACCACTTAGATTTAAATTGAAAAAAAAAATCATTGTTTAATTGCAATTAAGTAAATCAACATTCTTGGAAATAAATAATAACATGGTTTAATACCACCACCTTGTTAAAAAAATTTTCAAATTTGCACATATAATAAGGCATGTTCAAATCTCAAGCATTTTACATTCCTCACAGTAGTTAAAAAGATTATTACAAATTCAATCCCTGAGATATAATTTCTAAACAATGAATTACACATTTCTTGCATTCTAAAATGTAAGGAAAACTAAATTTGAATACCAAAATTAGTGATTTCCTTTAAAGAGTGGCTAGTATATTACTTCACTGTATTTGCAGACTTTTTTTCAAGACAACAAGTCATAGAATACATTTCCTAAGTAAACATGAGGATTTCGGGAATTTTTCTCTTATTTTCCCACTTGAATAATTATATTAATAAAACAAAGTATGTCTTGGCCACACAATTATCAGAAAACAAAAGCCTCCATTGGGCTTTGGTCCCTAAATAATTTTTTTTGTGTAAACATCAGTGATTTATCAACATTTCCTATAATTTCATTAATCTCAAAATGATGATTTATACATAGCAAAAAGTTCATAAAAACTTTCAGTACTGTTAACATTTTCACATTTGTTTGGGGATATAGCTACCTGCTTTTCTTCTGATTTCTTCTATTTTTGGAATCCCACATGATTACAATGTTAAAGTATACCAAGAAGAACAGGAAGTGCAAGCAGGATACAAAACATACCAACACAGAAAATAAGTCCGGTAATTTTTGAGGAGGATCCACTGTGACAGTCATCAGTGTCAGAAGCACCATAGTGATTATTGAGATAAGAAACTAGAAGGAGGTGGAGAAAAAAGTATTACTGAATTTATAAAAGAGAAAATGTAAATGTACTAGTGACATTGATTTATAGCTGTTAATGAGCAGACTTAAAGGTTGAGGTTCAGGAGTCCAATCTCTCCCTCTGGTGGCTCTCAACCTAGGCTGCATATTAGAATCATCTGGGGGGGTTTAAGACTCTCAATGCCAAGGCCATACTTCAAACCAATTAGAGTTTCTGGTGTAGGCCTTAACTTGTCAAGTGATTCCCACGTATGTATTGCCAAAGTCTGAGAACCTGACTCAAATCAGCCACTAAAGAAAGTCAATGAAGAAAGGTATCTAGAACAGATAATATTGCTAGTTAGGGATAAACTCAAGACATCCTCCAGAATCCTACGTCTTTATAAGATATAAAGAAAATCTAAGCTAATCGAAGAACGCATCTATGAAAAAGTTTTCCATGGCAAATGGAAAATACGTTTCATATTCACTGAACATTTTCAATGAGCTAAAGCTACAGTGAAGCACAGTGGGGAATATGAAAGAAAATACAGTCATCTGGCCTCAAAGAGTTTTAAGTTTAATTAGGGGAATGCGTGAACTAGTTACATAAAATCACAAAGTCAGGTTTGTCAGAGTGACTATGCACACATGGCTGGTTATAGACAATTTAGGAAATGAGTGACTTTGAAGACAATAATATGCCCCAGCTTTCTGGCCACACCCTAGCAGCTCACCAGGAACTTTATGCTGAGCAGAAGCAACAAATCAAATCAGATGGGAATGAGAACTATAACACCAGACTCAGAAGAGAACTGGAAGTTGAGCTAGTTCTGGTACAGTCAGGAAGTTGCTCTGCAACTTGCAAAGGAAGCAATTGTAGCTTCCAGAGAAGGTGGCAGAAATGCATGTGTGAGCGCCCCCAGCTTTACCAGAAACAACTGCATAGAGAAGACTATATATATTTTTGAATGTGACAGAACATTTGCCATATACAAAGAAGAGTTCGTCTATGATTATAGTAATTCATTGGATTTACCTGAAAAAAAAAAAAATGCTGCACACAGTTTGGACATCATCATAGCAAATCCCTGCTATTTTTCTGAGGAATGCCTCAGGAAAATATCAGAAACCATTATGTATCTGACCCCATATCTGCTGTGCACAGGTATAGTCATAGAGTAAGAGACAGCAAAACTTGGAGTGAACATTGCCAAGTTTATTCTAAAACACACCTGAACCTTGGCAAATGAGTTTTGCTGTTATATGAAATAAGAATCTGGGCTAGATTGTGATGTTTAGATGCAGACAGGAATATATGATAAAGACCCATTGTGACATTTCCCTCTTATTTTCTTAGTAGAATCATATAACTTCCTTGCCTACCCCACAAATGAGGCTCTCCCTGGTCCAATTTCCAAATTAAAGAATACAGTTTCTCATTATTAAAAAAAATAAATATTCCCAAAGTCACATTTTATTAAATGCCAAAATGAGCAGTAAAAATAATTACTGCCCTTTTAGTAACTTGTAGTAGTTTTCTAGACCAGTTCACTGTATATGCTGAAGATTCAAATTACTGTCTTGAGCCTGAATCGCTAACCTAAATTCCAGAATCGTATATCCAAGGACCTCTTAGTAGCTACATCTGGATATCTAGTAAGCATAAATAACAAATTACAGCACAATATATGCTCAGTAAAATTACTAGCTGACACCTCATCAAAAACAAAGAAGCCATAAGGTAGTGTTTTGGCAGAACATTCAAACTGCTGAAAAAAAAAGACAGTCATTTTATTTCTAGCAAAAATACCTTCATAAGTGAATGATATTAACATAGTACATTTGAAAATACTGAAAGTATGTTCTCCAAAAACACTAGAATTATATGACAAAAACAGGTAGAAATACTTAAAGATATTGCTGAAAAATGGCACAGGGATAATTTATAAATTTGAACTTAAAAAACTACTAGGTAAAAAAATAATAAAGCAAAGCCAAAACAAGGATCAAAGTGGATATAATAATATTAGACCCACAGTCAATGAAAATAGAAAAACAGAAAAAAACAGAAAATCAATGACCAAAAGTTAGTTGTTAAAAGACCAATGAAACCAAGGAAAAAAAGAGAGAAGGTACAAATTCCTAAAATCAGGAATGAAAAGAGGATATCGCTCTGTACCACACATAAAAATAAAAAATATGACAAGTGAATACTATGAACAACTCTATGCCAACAAATCAGATATAGATGGAATGGACAAATTCTTAGAAAGACACACCACTGAAACTGTCTCAAGAAATAAAGTCTGGCCTCCACGGTGGCGCAGCGGTTGAGCGCTGGGTTGCGAAGCTGCCCACAGCCTCTGCAGTGCCAGTTCGATCCCCAGCTGCTCCCCGGCCACTGGAGGAGGGTCCCACATGGCGCGCAGACCTCTCCTGCCGCCCGCTGCTCCCCTCAGCAGTGTACTTCGGTCCTTCTGCCTGCTCTGCTCCCCGCTCTGGCTCTGGTGAATTCTCTCACCCTCCTGCACTTCTGACTGCACCCAGTGCTTGTATAAATAAATAAATAAATAAATCTTTTTAAAAAAAAATAAAGAAATAAAGTCTGGGGCCTCCCCTGGTGGCGCAGCGGTTGAGCGCTGGGTTGCGAGGCTGCCTGCAGACTCTGCAGCACCAGTTTGGTCCCTGGCCACCGGCAAGGGTCCCACAAAAAAAAAAAAAAGAAATAAAGTCTGAATAGACCTAAACAACTAAAGATACTGAACTAAATTTTAAAGTCCCATTAATAATAATTAATTTTATTATAATAATAATTTTAACAGGGCCTTTTACATAAAGCAGAAAGGGAGGAAGAGGAGTCAAAACAGGAGGGATGACAGATTTCAAACCATACTACAAAGCCATAATAATTAAAACTGCGTGGTATTGGAACCAGAACAGACACATGGATCAACGGAACTGAACAGAAAACCCAGAAATAAACCCACAGATTTATGGTCAACTAATCTTTGACAAAGGAGCAAAGAATATGCATTGGAGCAAGGAAAGTTTGTTCAATAAATGGTGCTGGGAAAACTGGGTCACTACATGCAAAAGAATGAAGCTGGACTACTACCTCACACCATGCACAAAAACCAACTCAAAATGGATTAAAGAACTAGACATAAGACCTGAAACCATAAAATATATAGAAGGAAATATAGGTGAAACACTACATGACATGCACCTCAAAGACATCTTTACAGATGCATCACCCAAAGCAGTCATAGTAAAGGCAAAGATCAACAGCTGGGACTTAAAGAGCTTCTGCACAGCAAAAGAGACAATAACCAAAACAAAGAGAAACCCTACCGACTGGGATAACATTTTTGCACCCAACACTACTGATAAAGGACTGATCACAAAAATCTACAAAGAGCTGATGAGACTCAACAAAAACAAAGAAAATAATCCAGTCAAAAAATGGGCAGAAGAACTAAAAAGAAACTTCTCCGAAGAGGAAATACAAATGGCCACCAGGTATATGAAAAAATGTTCAATGTTACTTGCAGTCAGGGAAATGTAAATCAAAACTACAATGAGATACCATCTCACACCAATGAGAATGGCACATAAAAAAACTAGCAACAACAAATGTTGGCGAGGATGTGGAAAAAAAGGAACTCTCCTGCACTGCTGGTGGGAGTGCAAACTAGTCCAACCACTGTGGAAAGCTGTGTGGAGATTCCTCAACCTACTGAAGATAGAGCTTCCATATGATCGAGCAATTCCACTCCTAGGTATTTACCCAAAGGACACAGAAACATCAATTCCAAAGGGCACCTGCACCCCTATGTTTATAGCAGCACTATTTACAATAGCTAAGCTTTGGAAACAACCCGAATGCCCAAAAATAGATGAGTGGATCAAGAAGATGTGGTACATATACACCATGGAATATTACTCAGCATTCAAAAAAGATAAACACATGCAATTTGCAACAATATGGATGGAGCTGGAAGGGATCATGCTCAGCGAAACAAGCCAGAAAGAAAAAGAAAAATACCGATGGTCTCACTCATAGCAGGAATCTAGAAAACCTAAATATGGACCAGGAAAAAGAATAACTATAAGAAAGAAAAAAATAAAAATCAACAAACAACTATGAACCAGAGACACTCTTGGGGGGGGGGGTGGGAGGAGGGACTGGGGTCAAAATCGGGGTTGCAGTTGTATGGGGAATATTAAAAAAAAAAAAAAAAAGGAGGGATGAGCACAAGGGACTATGGTGATGGTCTGTGGGTGATGTGACAATAGGAGATTTATGGGTACTACACCTGAGGGAAGAAGTCAAATACTGTACAAAGAGGTAAGAAAATAAAAAAGTTTAATCAAAAAATAAATAAAAGGGTCTTTTAAAGAAAAGCCCAGGCAAAGATGGCTTCCCTGATAAATTATAACAAATGTTTATAGAATTAATACCAATCTTTCTTTTTTAAAAAAAGATTTATTTATTTAAGCATACAGGAGCTGGGGTACAGTCCAGAGATGCAGGGGGTGAGAGGATCCACCAGAGACAAAGCAGGGAACAGAACAGGCAGATTGACTGAAATACACTGCTGAGGGGAGCAGCGGGCGAGACAGGAGAGGTCTGCCTCGCCATGTGGGTTTCTCCCTGGCTGGCCAGGGGTCAAACTCGCACTGCAGAGGCTGTGGATTGCTTCATAGTGTGTTGCCTATTCCCTTGCACCACCAGGGACGCCCAATACCAATCTTTCATTAACTTTCAAAAACTTGAAAAGAATATTTCCCAAATCATTCCATGAGGCAGGTATCACCCTGATACCAAAACCAGACAAGACATAAAAGAAAAGAAAACTAGGGCCTTCCTGGTGGTACAAGGAGTTAAAACACAACCTATGAAGCTATCCACAGCCTCTGCAGCACAAGTTCGATCCCCGGTCAGCCAGGGAATAATCCACATGGCGCAGCAGACCTCTCCTGACTCACCCACTGCTCCCCTCAGCAGTGTGTTTTGGTCAATCTGCCTGTTCTGTTCCCCACACGTCTCTGGTGAATCCCCTTACCCCATACCTCTGGCCTGTATCCCAGTTTTTGTATGCATAAATAAATAAATCTAAGGGAAAAAGGGGGGTGGGAATTGTATGGGGACTATAACCAAGATGAAAATGCATACATTGTGCAAAAATGATAAATGATATTAAAAATATATAAAATTTTTAAAAAATGAAAAAAAAAAGATGTCTAAGGTAAAAAAACATGACCATATCATTAGACATAGGAAAAGCATTTGACAAAATCCAGCACCTTTACTTGATTAAAACATTCAATAAACTCAGAACAGAACTCCTGAACCAAATAAAGTCACTTATTAAAAAAAAAACCCACAATGAATATCAGAGTTAATAGTAAAAGACTAGAAGATTTCCCCCAATATCAGGAAAAATATATATTCACTCTTGTTAATTGTATTTGACATTGTACTGAAGGTTCTTGCCAGGATAACTAGGTAAGGAAAAAAAAAATAAAAGGCATTCAGATTAGAAAGGAAGAAGCTATCATGATTTGCAGATGACATGATCTTACATATAGAAAATCATAAGGAATCCACTAAAAACTTATAGTACATAAAACACGATCAATATAAACAGATCAAATACCTGCATACAATAGCAATGAATGTTATGAAATTAAGAATTCCATTTATAAAAACATCATAAAGAATAAAATACTTAGAAATAAATTTAACAAAACCACCATATTTAACAAAATAAGTGTTAGACTTAAAAGACTGAAACTACAGAAAATTGTTGAAGGACACTAAAGAATATCTATGTTTGTGGGCCTGGAAGACGAAAGCTTGGTAAAATAATTCTCAAGTTGATACAGAGATTTAAAGAGATCCCTGTCAAAATCTCTGCTTAGTTTTTGGAGAAAATGACAAGCTGATACAGCTAAAGTGGAAATGCAAGGGACATAAAATAATCAAATAATTGTGAAAAACAAGTTAGATGACTCACATTTTCAATTTAAAACTAACCACAAAGCCACAGTAATCAAGACGTGTGTGGTACAGATAAAAGGACAGATTAATACAACAGAACTAAAGTTCAGAAATAAACCCTTACACTTATCAACTGATTTTCAACAGAGGTGCCAATGTCTTCATTGTCACTAGAATGACATAATAAAGCGGGACTCCTACCTCACATCACACACAAAAATTAACCCAAAATGAATCAACGACCTACAGATAAGAACTCCTATGTTTTCTTCTAGGATTTTTACAATTTTAGTTCTTACCTAACCTAGTAGACTAATATATCCCATGTATATGAAATGTCCAGCCAGCTAAAGCTATATAGACAGAAATTATATAGATTGATAAGTTGCTGTACAATGTTGGGGGTAGAGGTGAGGGTGGAATGTGTAAAAGGTTTCTTTCTGAAGTGATGGAAATAAGCTAAAATGATATTGTGGTGACGGTGGTACAACTCTGTACATAAAACCAAAACTTTAAATGTGTGAATATATATGAATTATGTCTCAAAAGAACTATAAAAGTAAAATGATATTAAAATATTTTTAATTGTGCTAATAAGAACCATCCCTTAAAAACTGAACAACTTACCAAATGTTGTATAATTCTGGGAAGAAATGTAAACCATGGAAGATATTTCCTAACAGAAATGGAAAAGGATTTCAACTGTAATTCTTCCTCAGAAATCTTTTCAAATATTGAAAAAGAAGTTGTACAAGCTATAAAAAATGCCATCACTGTCACAATTGAGGGCATTAGGAGTTCATCCTTCAATAAAAGAGGTAGCATACTGTAAAGGAAAACAGAAAAAACATCAAAAGAGAATTGACAGTTCAAACCATAATTGCTTAGTAAAAAAGTCTTAAATGCATTTATAAGAATTATACTGAAAGTATTTTATGAAAATTGATTGAACTCACCTAAATGTTGACACAAGTAGAAACCAAGTAGACATAAAAGGAATTTCACTTAAAACTAAGCATACTGGTCTAAAATGATAGAGAAAAAGGTATTTTAATCTTAGAGAATATCATTTTGACTCATAAAAAATATAAACACATTTTACCTATCTGACTTTTGGGACAGTTAACAAAAAAACATAGACTATAGATTCATTTCTAAATAATTATGAATCCAGACTAAATTAGTTAAGACATAGGAAGGTGTCAACTCCTCAAAATAACTGAAAAACTGTTTCTTCCAGTATGCCATTAATGGAACATTTCTGTCTCACAAACAGTAGCTTAAGAAAAACATAAGATAGACAGATCTGAACATTTAAGAAAGAATGCTTTTATATAGTTCCTCCCAGTTAGCAAATACGAATGAATTACTAATATAGTGGTTTTTAGACTTTTTTATGATCCTCTATGTTACATATCACTCAGCTAAGTTAAAAACTAAAGTTATTATAGAAAGGATCATCATCTGTCACTGAAGAGAAGACAGAAGAGGCCAAGAAGAGTCATAAAGGGAAGAAGTTGATAACAGTGAAATAAAAGAAGAAAAATGTAGAAAGAGGCAACACTGGGGCCTCCCTGGCGGTGCAGGGGTTAAAGTCTAAGCGCTATCAAACTATCTGCAGCCACTGCAGCACTAGTTTATTCCCTGGCCAGGGAGCTGACCCACATGGCACAGCAGACCTCTCCTATCCTGCCCGCTGCTCCCCTCAGCAGTGTATTTCAGTAGATCTGCCTGTTCTACTCCCTACTCTGTCTCTGGTGAATTCTCTCATCCCCCACACCTCTGGCCTGAACCCCAGCTCTTGTATGCATAAATAAATAAATCTTTAAAATATATATACATATCACCTGAGCAAAGTCTCTGTGGGAAATCTACTTTTTATCAGCACATAGAAGACATATAGGAAGAAACAAAGAGAAATATCTGTAATAATTCTGTGAAACTTTTTCAGTTAAAATACACTATTTTATAAAGAAAGTTGTGAAAGATCATTACTCTGGGAAAATTATGATTTCATGAGATCATTTTATGCAATTATATTTATGTAGCTTGTTTTGTACTTGGGTAGCTACATATAAGCAATAATTTCTATATTGTAAAATATAATGATCAAAATAAATAAAATATGTTTGAAACATTTTTACTTACAATGATACTAACAGAATGGACTTTTCATGTACTTGGAAAGAAAACAGAAAGAATGAGAGTGCACAGCACACCTTTAAGGAAAAAAGGAGGAAAATGAACTATAACAACTTGTATAACAACAATTTAACAGTTTAATGTAGCTTTTATCTAGAAAGAAAATATAGACACACTAATACGCATAGTATTTTATTCTAATCTTTAACAAGCAAAATATTTTTTAAAAAGCAGTAGTTATAAAGGTATATTTTACCATCTAAAACAAGTTTACAGAGATTCAGTTATTATTAAACAAAAGTATAAATACTTAGGACACCACAATCAATCACACCTTCACCCTCTTTGGGGATCTTTGACAATTTAAAAAGTCTGTAGGGTAAGAAGCTCAAAATCTAAAACTGGAAAAACATGTATTTTAGTTTTTAAAGTGTACATTTCATTAAAATATATTAAATATTGTATAAAGTAATTATTTGCTATTCGATGTTCTCAATTAAAAATTAGTTACCTCAGGAGCCTCCCTGGTAGTGCAGGGGTTAAAAACACAGCGCTATCAAGCTATCTCCAGCCACTGCAACACTGAGTTTGACCCCTGGCAGGCCAGGGAGGTAACCCATATGGCGCAGCAGACCTCTCCTGTCTCACCCACTGCTCTCCTCAGCAGTGTATCTCAGTAGATCTGGCTGTTCTGCTCCCCACTCTGTCTCTGGTGAATCCTCTCACCCCTCCACCCCACCACACACACACCTCTGGCCTATACCCCAGTTCTAGTATGTATAAGTAAATAAGTCTTTAAAAATTATTTAAATCTACTTTCAGAAGTTCACTTTTTATATAGTAGACCTCTATATATCCATACACATCCAATCTAGTTGGTCCAGCAAAAAACCTGAATTACTATCTTGTACATACTATACATCCAAATCCATCAGCAAACCCCACCAACACCACCTCCTAATTACAATACCCACCCACTTCTCTTCATTCCCCTCTGCCTTGGTGGCAAAAGAGTGGGGTTCAACCCACACCCATCTTGCTCTTTTGACTACTGCAACTACCTCAGCTAGTAACACTTTTTTCTCCTTACAATCTACTGTACTCCATTCAGTCACTATGTCAGATCAATAAATTCCCCTACTTAAAATCCTCCCATAGCTTCCCACTAGACTTAGAATAAAATCCAAAGTCCTATACAATCTGGGTGCTGCCTGACTTCCAGTCTGTATCTGTCTCACTCTTTTACTTCACACCAGCTACTTCAATCTGAGACCTTTATGCCAAATGTGTTCCTGCTTCAAGGAAGAACCTGCTTTTTTTTTTAATCAATTCAAGCCAAATCATCTTGTGATTGGCTCCTTCTACTTGACCATTCAGTTCCAGCCTCAAATATCACTTCCCTGGAAAGACTTTCCTTACTCAGTCTAAAGCAGTGTCCCTTAGCCACAGCCCACCAAGATTAAATACTATTCAAATAAATTAAATGTAATTCACTTTGCTGCTATAGATATATCAGTATTCATACTCATTATTACTCAATTATAGACATATATTGAGAAATAACTCAACTTTGATGGGAAGGAAATTCATAACAGGGCCTCCCTGGTGGTGCAAGGGGTTAAACACTGCACTATGAAGCAATCCGCAGCCTCTGCAGCACAAGTTCGATCCCCAGCCTGCCAGGGAGTAACCCACATGGCTCAGCAGACCTTTCCTGTCTCACCTCCTATTCCCCTCAGCAGTGTATTTCAGTCAGTCTGCCTGTTCCCCACTCGGACTCTGGTGAATCCTGTCACCCCACACATCTCTGGCCTGTACCCCAGCTCTTGTACGCATAAGTGGATGGATCTTTAAAAAAAAAAAACACTTTATAACAATTATAATGGAAAATGCCTTTAAAACTATAAGAAGCATTTAAAACAAATTGAAAATAGCAACAAAATAAAATTTTAAAAGCCCTTAATATAAGCTTTTTTTAGATTTTTAAACAACCGTATTGAACAAACATTAAAATTAGGAAATTAAGACAAAGAATTTTTTTCTGACTTACAATCCTAAAAGTAATCATTTCTAATCCTGCTACAGTTACCCAACTCTAAAATTCCACTATCTTTGAAATATACCTTTATTTATAAGCTCTTTCCTAAAAATAATTTAAAAAAAAAAAACATAAGCTTGCAAATATTTCAAGTTAGGTCTCTTGCTATACCAGAGCATTACTAGCCATGTCCCCTGGTTCTAAACATACAATGACCCATTAATTAATCACAGATGACTTAGGATACTAAGAGTTTATTCAGATCAAAACAACAGAAATAGTCAATAAAAGAATAAAAAGGAATATCCAAAGAAAAACTTACTGAGTGTCTAAAAAAGAAAAACTATTCTTTTTGCATTATGATACCAATATATTTTTGAGACATTTCACCATGATGTTCTATTTTGGCTTGTGTTTAGGATGTACAGTAAATAAATGGCAGTCCCAGAACTGAAGTCCTAATTTCTAAAATGCTCTTATAAGTCCACTGAAGCTTACTGTTTTCATAAACTAAATTTTCTGATTTTTTTTTAATTTTATACAAGAACTGGGGTATAGGCCAGAGGCACGGGAGGGTAGGAGAATTCACCAGAGACAGTGCGGGGAGCAGAATAGGCAGATAGACTGAATATACTTCTAAGGGGAGAAGCGGGCAAGACAGGAGAGGTCTGCCATGCCATGTGGGTATCTCCCTGAAAGGCTGGGAAACGAACCCATGCTGCAGAGGCTGTGGACAGCTTCATAGCATGGCGCTCAACCCACTGCACCACTGGGGCGGCCCAAATTTTCTGATATTTTAAAGGAATTTTTTTTTACATTTTATTTAAATTTTATTCTTTATATTCCCCATACAATTACAACCCCCTTATTTTGACCCCAAGCCCTCCTTTCCCCACCCCCCACCCCCATAGAGTATCTCTGGTTCATAGTTGTTTGTTGATTTTGATATTTTCTTTCTTATACTTATTCTTTTTCCTGGTCCCTTATTTAAGTTTTCTAGATTCCTGCTATGAGTGAGACCATCTGGTATTTTTCTTTTTCTTTCTGGCTTATTTCGCTGAGCATGATCCCTTCCAGCTCCATTCATGTTGTTGCAAATTGCATGTGTTTATCTTTTTTGAATGCTGAGTAATATTCCATGGTGTATATGTACCACATCTTCTTGATCCAGTCATCTATTTTGGGGCATTTGGGTTGTTTCCAAAGTTTAGCTATTGTAAATAGTGCTGTTATAAACATAGGGGTGCAGGTGCTCTTTGGAATTGATCTTTCTGTGTCCTTTGGGTAAATACCTAGGAGTAGAATTGCTGGATCATATGGAAGCTCTATGTTTAGTAGGTCAAGAAATCTCCACACAGCTTCCGTAGTGGTTGGACCATTTTGCACTCCCACCAGCAATGCAGGAGAGTTCTAAAGGAATTTTTTAAATGTCATTTTATAGACAAGGTACACAGAAACAAAAATTTAAATACCACAGAAATAGAACCAGGAAGAATTTGTAAACACAGCAAAGCCCTAAGCTATAGGAAATATACCTGATCCATCTCCAAACTGACACAAGGTATCTTCCTAAAACAGAGAACTGTCACCTTCCCATCTCAAAAATCTTTTTTGGCTCATCTTAAACACAAATTAAAGTCCAACTTTTTCAACCCAATCTTCAAGGTCTTGTTCAATTTGAACCTTTTTGACTCTCACCACTCATTATAGCCTAATCTCAACACATACACACATAACACTCACATAAAGTTCACTGTTTATAAGCTATTTCCAAAGAATTCCCCATTCTTTCCCACTTCTGCACCTCCAAGCTCTTGTCTTGATTTCTTATCTGCTACATAACCTCTTATTCCAAATCTTGACCAGTTTGCAAAATTTGGCTCCAATCGCACTTGCTGCAAGAGACTGGGTAAAATCTGAACCACCAGATAATAACACCATCTCCCACTTCAACTTGTACCTGACAAAACTTAATACCATCACTTTACAGCTTCATTACCTAAGTATATGTTTATTGCCACTTCTTTGTATTCCCTCATTAGGAATATAATACAAAGGAGAAATTAAATAGTTGTTCATTTAAACGGAAAGATCCTGATTGCTGAGCCGAGGGCCTGTGTTGCTAGACACTCAATAAATGTTCACCAAATAAATGAATGTCTAGTTCACAATCCAATATATCCCTTTCTGACCAAGATAATAATTATCTGTATTTTTTAAAGATCAATTTCAGCAAGAATTAAATATCTAAACTAATAAAAAACTTACCAGAGTAAATTTGAATCCTTTGAGAGAAGGCTGAAGTGTTAATTTTACACATGCAGGAAGCAGGCTCAAAAATGTAAAACAAAAGCTAAAAAATTAATCAAAATAAAACATTTGTTTTTGTTATAGAGTTACACAGCTAAAACAAAGAAATAATTTTTTAAATGTAAGGATCCCATTACTTATCAATTTATACTGATTTTAAAATAAAGTTTATTTTATTTTTGAAATTTAAAATGAAGACCAAAAAAATGTTAATATATATGATTATATAATATAGAAGACAAAACATTATAGTACTAAATGTTGCTTATGTTATTCTAGTATTTAGTATCACATGTAGAAAAAATACAAAGACAGATAGCTAAAACACAATTACCAAATACTCTAATAAGATCACATAAGCAGGGAAAAAGAGATAATGCTGTATTTCTAACACAAAAGAGTCATAAACTTTACTCACATGAAAAACTGTCCTACCCTCATTACAAAGGTTGACTTTCTGATTTCCAGACCAGAGTAAACCAGAAAATAAAAGTTTAAAAGGGGACAGAAGGCTGCAAAAGCCTTTACTAATATGGCTGGTGGGTTGGGAGGAAAAAGAAATCAACAGGTTGAGCAGCCTGGACCATTTAGTGCCATGGTCAAGCAGCCTTTGAAAGCCCTGAGAACAAGTATTATAATGCAATACAATAAGTCAGCTTCCCTCTTGTGGCTTTGTGGTGTAGTGTTGGCTAAGCTGAACACATTCCCTGAATTCTCTCTAGTATACTGCCTGTTACAAGAGGCTACAAGGGATTTTCTCAAAAAAGTCAGAGAGGACAGAGGAAGGCAGTGCCCATTTTGTAGCCCCACACACCTCTCAGTTATCCAAACACTAATCTTGGTGCTACTGTGAAGATTTTGCAGATGTAATAAAGTCCCTATTCAGTCAATTTTAAGCTAATGAAAGGGGTTTGTCTTGGGCAGGCCAGGCTTAATCAATTGAAAGTCTTTAGGCCTTGCCAAAGTGTAAGGACCCCAAACAGCAGCTGGGTCTGAATCACTCTTCTTTCCCTTAGATATCCCTTCCCAAATGTGTGCCATGTGGACTTCAATTTGCTTAGCCAGCTGCCACAACTTTATAAGCCAATTCCTCATAATAAATTCTCAAACTCTCTCTCCTCTCTCCCCCAGCCCTGCACACACATAAACACACACATAGAGTGACTGCCCTTAGTCTACTTCCCTATATGAACCCTGATATACCACTGAAAACCATGGCTCTTCAAGAAAATGTTAAATCATGCTTAGCAGACATTCTGTTTAAGATGGAGAGAAGTAGCTAACAATCCAGAGAGACTTTTATATAAAATACTCCCAATGAAAGAATTTTGTTGAACAGAAAGACAGGTTTATGTTATATGGAAAATTCACTAATGATGAACATGTCGTATCGTAATGATACCTGACAAATGAGATATTAACAAAACACTTTTTTAAAATTTTTTATTGATTAAATGTTTATATTTTATTACATTGTTGTTCATTTTTTTATTTTGCTTGTTTTATTTTATTATTTTTTTATTTTTTATTTTTATATTCCCCATACAATTGCACCCCCCTTATTTTGACCTCATTTCCTCCTTTCCCCGCCCCCCATGGTGTGTCTCTGGTTTACAGTTGTTTGTTGATTTTGATTTTTTCTTTCTTATAGTAATTCTTCTTCCTGGTCCCTTATTTAGGTTAGACAGTAGTTTATGAAACACTACTTTGTATCTCTTACCTGATTATTATCTGGATGTGATGTGGCAAAATATCCTTGATCTTCAGAAAGATACTGACGCTACACCAGATATTAGCTACTTTATCCTAAAGAAAAGATATTTGTTTTATACTCTGCTATAATGTATTAAAATACTACATTCCACAAAGTACAGTTCATAGCCCCTAAACAAATAAATTTTTGAAATATATGAAGTTTTTGTTCAAATTTTATAACAAAGTTGATTAAACACTCCAAAGAATAAACACATAATATCTCTCTCTCAAGCATTTTTCATTTTTCCCAATGGGAGTTAATCTAAATCACTAAACAACCATAATCTAAACAGTCCCAAGAAATACTTAAATTTTTCAAAAAGCAGCACACTACTCCTAAGTACTAAAGTTATTCATCTTTGGAGATTTTTATAAGAAATTTTTTTCCTAATTTGTAGAACACACATTTGGCCCATTTAATCACATACCTGAGATTATTTAGAACAAGCCACCAGCTACTAGCAATGACAAGAATTAATTGCTAATAAATCAAGAAGTTTAAGGATATTAACAGTTGCACTAGGGTCACTTTCATTCAATTAAATTTATAATTACAGCTCTGCTTGTAAACCCATTCTCTACACAACTGCTTGATTCACAGCTCCTCAGGCACAGCATCAACAGTGACTCACCGACAACTGTACCATCCTACCTCCCTGTTCGACAAAGAAAATGCTCTTCAGATTTTGAAGACAACAAGTGAATGGAGGTGACCAGCAGCACCATTAAAACATGTATGACACTTTTTATAATTTTGTGATAAATACTATCCCTAAAATAGAAGGTAAGACAAATAACTAGACAGCTTACATGGAGAATTAAATTTTTCTTTGCAATAAATAAGTGATGGTGATAGTAACTGTTATTATTTATGATTATCAGTGTCATCACCACCATCATCCCACTGACACACAGTCACGCATTCCTGCTCTTTTCACAATTCCAAATTCTTTCTTTCATTGTCTCTTTCAAAATGCTGCTTCCAACTTCTCGTAGATTCATTGAAAGATTTTCTATAGCAATTTATATAGTCAAAAATTAGAAGGATATGTATGCTTTTCTATTTTAAAAAAAAATGTTTATTCAAAAGTAAATTATCTATAAATATGTTGTCTCTAACTTTATTAAAGGGCCTTGTTTCAAAAACTGGTTTGTTTAATTTAATTACTATCTAAATCACCAAATTATCCATGTAATAAAAGCTTAACAAGAGTGATTAAGCTAGCATTAAATGAAATGAAATGAAAGATTCTCATTAAAAATTACTACAGATAAAGGTTATATATTACATAAGAATGATAAGCTCTTTGAAGCAAACATGATTATTAGTTTTTAATTTCTTTAGACAAAATGAGAATACAACTAACTACAGAGCTGTTACCTTTGTAGCTGCAAATGCTCATGCTGTCTTTTATTATGGACTCTATTTCATTAGAAAAATATACAATTGAATTATAGATCTCACATTGGCATAAATATTACCTACTCTTGTAATGCACTAGAAAATGCCAGCTGAGTGAGAGGTTATACATTGGACTGAATAACTGGCAAGGAATGACTATGAGAGAAGAGCAGCTATAGTGACCGTTCCTTGCATATCTTCTACATGAAATCCCAAAGGTCACTGGAAAGGTACTATAACAGAAAGGAGTGAAAGGAAAGTTTTTTAACATGCCTCAAATAACCCACGATCAACTGGGAAGAGTCTTCTTAGAACCTGCAGGCTTTGTTCCCTTTCTGTAAAGAATGGCAGCCAGCAGAGAATGAAGGAAGCCACAACAGTACACACTAACTTGATTAACAGTACCAACCTAGAACAAAACAAAAGTGACCAGTAAGAAAGAGAGAGGTTAATGATTGAGAAATCAATGAGTCTTACTAAATATAACAAATGCAAATTATGGTAATGATAAATAATGCTACCATTATAGGTTTTTGATGGGAGTCTACTCAAAAAAGTTTCAAGAAATTCACAACCATTGAGATGAGCACTCCTCCAACAAAAAAACTATCACCATCCTAATTAATATTTAATATAGACTCCGTTACCATGCAGCTATAAAGAAACACATCAAAATGGGCTGTATCTCTAGTAAATATATAATGTAATATGCTCTAAACAGATGAACTCTTATGGCAATGTTCTAACAAATAAACCCATATTACCTCCAGTAAGTGTACATGGATCAAAATATTTCCTCAGTTGGGAAGATTTAAAATAATACAGAACATGTCTTAATCTCTTTTCCCCTTACCCCATAACCAACACATTAATAAGAAATGACCAAAATGAAAAGTATAAGACTACTTTCTTCCCACTAAAGTATGCCAAGTAAATTCTCTGAAGTAATTTTTTGAATTTTGTTGTTTAAAGCCACTTAGGGTCTCCCGGTGGTGCAGCGGTTGAGCGCTGGATTGCAAAGCTGCCCGCAGCCTCTGCAGCACCGGTTCGATCCCCGGCTGCTCCCCGGCCACCGGAGGAGGGTCCCGCATGGCGAGCAGACCTCTCCTGCAGTGCCTGCTGCTCCCCTCAGCAGTGTACTTCGTCAGTCTACCTGTTCTGCTCCCCGCTCTGGAGCTGGTGAATTCTCTCACCCTCCCACGCTTCTGACTGTACCCAGTGCATGTATAAATAAATAAATAAATCTTAAAAAAAAAAGAGAGAGAGAAGCAAGTCTAGCTAATCACATTAAAAAAAATAAAATAAAAATTAAAAAATTAAAAAATAAAAGCCACTTACCCCTTTCCTTTGATGCCTTTTTTGAAACACTTGCCAAGTAAAAAGCAAAAAAATGGCAAGGAATGGTAAAGTTCCATCTGCTTATAATTTACAGCTAAGCAAAATGCTAGTGACCCTAGCAGATCCCAGTCACAAGACACTCCAAGAACACCCCACAAAGCAAAGCCAAGACTCACAGAATTATATATGTTCCGGTGTTAAGGAAAGTTTCTCAGTAATTATAAGAGAAAGATCCTGCATTTTATAGCATATATTTCTTATGTTATGTAAGATAATATATCTAATAAAAGTTACTTCTAAATAGAAATTAAAAGTATTGAAGTGATAAAGAAATTTGAAATTATATACAATGGCCTCAAATATATTAAATCTACTGCTAAACAAAGCAACTGATTTAATTAAGTTTAAAAATTAGTACTGAATAACTGACATACAGCTTATTTCTACTAGACTACTTTATGATAATAGTAAAACAAAATGCTAAAGTTTAAAGAATAAAACTGTGCTCCAACCATAGGGGAAAAAGTATTACTGATCATAATACTTCCTCAATAATATGCATCAAATTAATATAAATATATGTGCTTGGTTAATGCTGTTATTTAAAACATCACAAATATATTTTCAGCTCAAAATGGTGAGCCCAGTTATGCTTATCTCCTCTCCTTTCCAAGACCCCCTTCAAATAATAGAGAATTAGAAAAGAATAAATTTACAGCCATAAAGATAAAGATGGGTTACAGTAGGAAAAGATTTCAACACATTTTTGGAAGACAGAAGAGGACAGAGAAGTGGTTGCAAATAGAAAGGGATGGAAGAAGCCATAGCTTAGAGAATTCATAAAGGAAACTCAGGCAAGCAAGGAGCAAACCCACCTAATAAGCCCCTAGAGAACACTGGGAACAACCAAGTAGATTGAAAAAATTGAGTTATATGTGGAAAAGAGAACAAGAGGATTTACTGAAAATCCCTAGATAAGGAAGTCAAATCCCACATCATTCCTGTATAAAGCAAACCCCTCCATGTTCCAGACATTTAAGGATCCCACAGTATACGGGCCTGCTCATGGCCCACTTACCCTACACTGGACCAAATATATAATGAGTTCACGCGTCTCTTTCTTTTACCTTGTTCTTAAAGAATAGATCCACTAGGATCAAACAAACATTTAAGGAAAACCTATGACAAAAATTTTAAAAAATCAAAAAAGAAATTTAAAAATTTTTTAATTATGTATATTGTAAATATTAAAAAAAGAATTGAAAAGAATCACAAGAAATTTTCATATGCAAAAGAAAAAAAACCTATGACAGACAAAGGACCAAAATAAAAAGGGAAAAAAGATGGACTAGAAGAATGGAAATAATTCAGGGACAGTATGTATGCATATATATGTATGTATGTATGTATGTGTGGAACGGGAAGGATGGGAGACAAAATTGAAATTTAAAATATGCTTGGCAAGGATGCAGAAAAAAAGAAACCCTCAAATGCTGCTGGTGGGAATGTAAATATTGGTACAACAACTATGGGTAACAGTACAGGAAGCCTCAAAAACATTAACAAAACTACCACAATTCAGCTATTCCATTTCTGGATATGTACTGAAGAATATGAAAACACTAATTCAAAAAGGTATATGTACCTACATATGTTCACTACAGTATTAATTACAATACCCAAGATATGGAAGCAATGAAAATGCCTAACTATAGTGTGGTCACACACATTTCTTTCCAAGTAGTTCTACTTTTAATAAATGTGTACTTTACCTTCAAGTAAAAACGTGGTAAAGAGTTTCTCTATATCGGTATAAAAAAAAAAGTTTATATAAACAAGACCCCAGCAAATTAGACATTACTATGTAATATATAAGTTGGCCTAGATTTCAAAATACGCATCTAATTTTATCTCAAAATTAGTAAAGGATACTGAAAATGTCCATAGTCAATAAGAATAAGGCCTGGATACAGCAATATGCATAATGCATTGGTAATCTGTAAAGAAAAATATTGGGAAATAAGAAAATAATCTGTTGTTCAAATCAAACAGGGTAAAAAGTATGGTTTCATTTAACACAACAGCAAATGTTCCCCTCTTGCCTTCTATTTATCAAAATATTCCATTTTCATTTAACAAACTTTAGACACTGAAGTTTTCATGAAGGTGATTTAAGATACTTCAGTAAAGAGGAAGAGAGTCACTAAAAAGTATTTGTCAAAGGATGCACTCAGTTATTCAAACCAGAAAAGTTAACCTAATGATTAACCTATATAAAATGAACAAGAGTATGTGCTATGAACATGAGACTATATAGCAAGTTTTCAAAATGCCTTTACATCCTAAATGTAAAAATTAGCAATCAAAATTCAGATTTACCAGTTAAGCAAATTCAGTATGCTGTATAATTCAGCAGTACAGAACTTCTAAAATTCACCTTAAAAGTGCATCTTAATACTACAGTTAGACATTAATGTTATCCTAATATAAGCTGATGTTTTGTAAATGAAAATTAGTTGCCAGAAGATACTTATTCCCAAAAGCCTAACTTCTTTAACTCTATACTTCATAACTAAAGCTAACATTTCAGAGAGGAAATGTCAGGCTGCTAAAACTTACCTTTTTCTTAGTTGAGATATCTTTTAAACAACAACAGTACAATACCACTGCAGGTATATAAATCAGCAAATCAGCAATTAAAACTGAAAAATAAGCAAATAGTTTTAAGTCTAAATCCATCAGGATCCACAATAACATATTAACTGCCCCTACCTGAAACTCTGAGTGGGGAATTCTTTTTTTTTTTTTTTTAAGATTTATTTATTTATTTATACAAGCACTGGGTACAGTCAGAAGCGCGGGAGGGTGAGAGAATTCACCAGAGTCAGAGCGGGGAACAGAACAGGCAGACTGACAAAATACACTGCTGAGGGGAGCAGCAGGCGTAGCAGGAGAGGTCTGCGTGTCATGTGGGACTCTCACCAGCGGCCAGGGATCGAACCAGCACTGCAGAGGCTGTGGGTAGCTTTGCAGCCCAGTGTTCAACCACTGAGCCACCAGGGGAGGCCCTATGAGTGGGAATTCTAACACAAGTTTCCTACCTGCTCTATATAACTCCTGTACACATCATGTCCTTCCCATTCCCTTCACATACGCCTAATTTCAATTAACATAGTACTACAGAGTTATATCTAAATTTCTAGACTCTAGTAAAATAAAAATTTACTATCTTTATTCTGACTTGTACTTAAAGATTACAATTCTCAAAAGCAAGGGAAGACAACATTTTTCTTCTCAATATCTGTGTACTCCAAGTTTTCTGGTATGAAGAATACCTCAAATATGGTGATGCATAGAATAATCTTTTTTAAATGTTAATATCTATAAAAGCACACAAACTTTTGCTAACTGATGCATATAAGCCACCACAGAGGCCCAAGAAGCTGAGAAAAAATAAATAAATAAATAGATAGATAGATAGATAGATAGATAGATAGATAGATAGATAGATAGATAGATAAATAAAGGCAATTAAAATTTAAGGTTCAGTCCTTTTAGAACAAAAAACAAATGCATTAAGTTCTTCAACAGTACAATACACCTGTCCAAAGAGCACATTGTTTCCTTGTATGTAAGTATGTGTCCAGAATAAGGTAAATGATAGTAAACTATCAGTGTTGGATACATGTAGTCTATTTTTAGCTCCAGATGCCACATATTTTTTTTTTTTAATTTATACAAGCACTGGGTACAGTCAGAAGCACGGGAGGGTGAGAGAATTCACCAGAGCCAGAGTGGGGAGCAGAGCAGGCAGAAGGACTGAAGTACACTGCTGAGGGGAGCAGCGGGCGGCAGGAGAGGTCTGCGCGCCATGTGGGACCCTCCTCCGGTGGCCGGGGAGCAGCCGGGGATCGAACCGGCGCTGCAGAGGCTGTGGGCAGCTTCGCAACCCAGCGCACAACCGCTGCGCCACCAGGGAGGCCCGATGCCACATTTTTTTGTTGTTTTTTTTAAAGATTTATTTATTTATGCATACAAGAACTGCGGTACAGGCCAGAGGTGCAAAGGTGAAAGGATTCACGCAGAGACAGAGTGGGGAACAGGATGGGCAGACTGACTGAAATACACTGCTGAGGGGAGCAGCAGGCAAGACAGGAGAGGTCTGCTGTGTCATGTGGGTTAGCTCCCTGGCCAGGAATTGAACTCATGCTGCAGTGGCTGCAAATTACTTCCTAGTGCTGAGACATAACCCCTTGCACCACCAGGGAGGCCCCTCCAGACATAATCAAAGGAGCAGAATCAGAGCCCTCAAAATCATAATCACATTGAACAAACTGATTATCTAAGAAACAGCTAAAGTATCTAAGAATGTTTAACCTGGAGGAGAAGTGTTAGGTATATAAAGGATCAGACTGACTCTACGCACCCAAAGAAACAGAACCTGTGCCTTGGTGGTGGGTGTGGTGTGGTAACATATACCTGAAAAGGCGAGATCCTATATTTCTCAGTCATATATAGTGTTATAAACCAACATTACCTTTATTTTAAAAAATAGTTTAAAAATGACTGGTAGAGGTTCAATATAACAAGAAAATATTTTATGATGGGGCTCTTGGAAAATAAAATAAACCGACTCTGAAGTTTTTGAGTTCCCTGCAGATACAGGGATTGGTTTAAAAGCCAAATAATAACCATGTAGTGGATATGCAATTCAAAGAGGATTAAAGTATTATGGGCAGTGGTAAGGCAGAGGGAAGTGGTTAGAGAAAAGAGAATGTAGAAAAAGACATGCAAGATAATCTCTTGGGCATGAGATTCCAGGACTGGATGAATAGTAAAAACAACAAATTCTGACAAAATCTAGACTAATTAAGGAAAAAGCCCAGGTTAGCATTAAAGTCTAAATTATATACAACTTTTACAGAAATCTAAAATTATCACCTTCAAGTTCTTAGAACAGCACATAACAGCTGTTTAGTAAACGTTTGTTGAGTAGTTTGCTTAATTTAGCAACAATGCACAGCAATGCAATGTATGAGATACAACCATAAGACTTTATGAAAAAGATTAAAAGGATTTATAATTAGGGCATTAAAACAGTAACCTCAACAACTAAAACTTCAATTTATAGCTATCAGACCTCACTTAAAACTATTAACCTCACTTAACTGTACCTCAGTCTCTTCAACTCAAAATAAAAGATAGTAACAGTATTTACCCCATTTAAGTGTTAAGCAGGACAACAATAACTGTAAAGACCCAGAATTATTCCATTCTACTCTTTGCACTTTTAGCTTACATATTTAACAATCATGTATCACACATATGTATATGTATAGCTACACAATTTTAAAAGCCAGTACCATTCATCAGTTCGTACAAATGTTCTAAAATCAAACTTTATACACAATACCTGTTGTTCTCTTACCTGTTGTACGCATGAAGAGCTTATGTGCCTGACTCTCATATCCACGTGATATGTGGAGAGCAATCCAGTCTGGATTTATAAACTTTGCCCTGTACAGCAAAGCATATATACACGCACTTTATTCTCTATCATTTTAGCAATAAGAATGTATGAATTTGTTTTCAGAAGGGCTGTTATTCTTATAAAGTGATAAAGTCAACACTTAAGTTTTACTCTTTATTTAATCATGTAAAACTGACAAGCTATAAGACAGGGTCTGCTTTGTTCATCTTCCAACAAAACTATGTTACATGTTATTAAAAGTCATGCCTTTACAATTCTTTCAGTATAAAAAACAATTGATGAGTCATAATTTCATTTATTATATACACACTGTAAAGAACAATATGCTAAAAACAATGGATCATGCTTTATAATTTATACTGTTTTCAATCATAAGACATTATCATAAGACTTCAACAGACAACTAAGCATAAACTTCTATAAATCATATTGCATAAAATTAAAGATAATTTTTAAAGATAAATTAAGCTTTCACTCATAGTTGATTACCCTGAACACTGCAAAGTGTTAACTGATAATCATGAAGTTTGGAGATCTATTTTTAACCTAGGAAGCTAATTTCCACAAAATATGAAATAGCTAAGGGTGAAATAATTAAATGAGCTCAAAGACACTGAAAAATTCCTCAAATTTGACACACTTCAAACCTGAAATGAAATAACACTACAGAGGACAAAGAAATGGGTCTCCACCAAATACAAGTTCCATATCTTCTATAAATAATTTCATTTAATTAAAAGGAGAAGGAATTCCATCCTAATCTTAAATTATAAGTGAAACAAAATAGTAATTCTAGTTTCTATTTGACAGGTTAGTCAAAATACCATCTGATCTATTTTTTTCATTTACTCTGGACCATTCCAAAAAAGCTTTCCATGGACAATAAGAATATTAGATACATTCCTCACTAGCTCATGCATAATTGGTAATTTCTCTACTTCAAAAGAAAGCCAAAAAATTATGGAAAAGTTTAAACTCTGATGCTTAACTTTCTTACATCCTGATTAAAAAGGAATAATATCTAAGAGTATATAAACCAAATAACATAATAGTAGCTACCTACAACGAATCTATCACTTTATTCCATAAAGCCAATCACACTGTTGTTTTACTATATATGCTAAGGACGTAAATATATACATTAAGGAAGAAAAACTTACACATATGCACATAAGAGACTATGATAAGCTGTAAGAGGTGGATAATCCAATCCCCAATACTGTAAATTATTATCACTGCTGTTAAAATACCTAAAAAAAAAAAGTACCATTACATTAATCAATATTCAGAAACAGACATAATCTAACATCTCATCTAATTAAAATGAAAAAAATATGCCATACCTAAACTTTCTTGTCTTTTCCCTCTTTGCTTAATTTTTTAAACTCACAATTAAAAATTGAATTGAGGGCCTCCCTGGTGGCGCAAGGGGTTAAGCACCACACTATGAAGCAATCCGCAGCCTCTGCAGCACGAGTTCAATCCCTGGCCAGGGAGCAATCCAGATGGTGCAGTAGACCTCTCCTGGCTTGCCTGCTGTTCCCCTCAGCAGTGATTTTCAGTCAGTCTGCTTGTTCTGTTCCCCACTCTGTCTCTGGTAAATCCTCTTACCTCCCTCCATCTCTGGCCTGTACCCCAGCTCTTATATGAATAAATAAATCTTTTTAAAAAAATTGAATTGAGCAACTAATAACTTATTGTCTAAACCAAGTTACTCTTAGTCCAGACAATGAAAAAGGAAGCTATCAATAATTGCGCCATAACAATAGATGAAAATCAAGACTGTCCCAGGCAAACAGAAACTTATTGTTATTCTATTATTAGCAGACCTTAATTGCTGACTAATGCTTATACAACAACAAAAACAATTTGCTTCTGATAGTCTAACAAATTAAAGAAATAGCAAAATAAAAATTCTAGAAAGTAAAAAATCAATACCAAAAAAACCAAAGATATTGGATAGAGAAATATCCAATATCTATCTCTTCACAGAAGAGGTAGAATTTTTTTTTAAACTTATTTATGCATGCAAGAACTGGAGTGTAGGCCAGAGGTGTAGGGGGTGAGAGGATTCACCAGAGACAGAGAGGGGAGCAGAACAGGCAGATCTACTGAAATACACTGCTGAGGGGAGCAGTGGGCAAGACAGGCTCTAGTCTAAATGCTTTCCATGTACCATTTTACTCAGTTCTCACAACACCCCAGGAAACTATGTATTCTATTATTTCCATTCTATAAGGGCTAAGATTGTGGCAGAGAAAGTTAAATAACTGACCAAAGGTGACACAGCTGGTAAATAGTAAAGCCAAGATCTAAACTCAGGCAGTCAGACTAGCACTTACAGTCTTTACCACATCTCATACATTCCTAACAATGGAACTCTAAAAAACCTCTGGAAGAAATACTGTTAGCCCATAAACCTCCACTGTTTGTGTCCAGCAGAGTTATAAAGGCATACAGTGCTCTGTCCTCAAATTCCAGCTGCTAACTGGATATATATGGATAACTTTCAAGAGAGTGAAATTTCAAAGATGGGCTCACAATCAGCAAGGTAATATATGAAACATCAGTATAGAGGAAGATGATGTACAAAATAAAGGAAATGACCTATTTTCCTTTCATTAATAAATATCTTCAAATAATCTGTATTAGCTGATATAATAAATAATAAAATCAAGTTAAAAATTATCCATACCATTGTTTGATTGGTAAATTAAAAGTAATTTCTTGCCAGTGTCTCTGAGCTTCATAATCACCAAACATAGGGGGTTTTCCAGCACCTAACATGAAAGGTAAAAAGAACAAAATAACAAACTATTTTCGTATATCATGGACATTTAATTTCTCTAAATTATACAGACAGTGTAGGTTAAAGAAAAGAACACAGAAGTTGCAAAAAGAGTAAGTAGGCTGAGGTCAGAATATGAGCACTTCTAGCATAGTGAGTAGCTGGGCAAATTACTTAACCTCTTTAAGCCTTAGTATAGTATATACAGGATCATACTTCCTACCTAGAGGACTACTGGAATAAATAAGACAACTGAAATAAAATACCTGATATAGTACCTGCACAGAGTAAAACTCAATAAAGGTTAACACTAGTTATTAATCTTAATTAGGTATTAATTAATTCATTAATAAGATAGCCACTTTTTTATTTTGTATGTATTTATACTGTCCATTAAGTCTCCTAAGACAAGAATGACAATTATCTGTATTTCACAAAATGCTTTTATAAATTAAGTAACTTATAGTCAAGTATGGAACCAAAAACAGAGTTTATGTTACAAAGACATTAGTGAAGTCAGGTAATCAGTAACAAAATATGTATTTGAACCCAGGCAGCCTGACTCCAAAATCTATGCACTTAGCTTCTCCTCTGCATTGCTTCATAACTCGGTTAATTAGGCCATAAATCTTAAATCTGTACTTTAAATGGCAAAAAGGTTAATTCCATTTCATAAATAGTAACTATTTAACTAACAATGAACTACAAAATTTTGTTAAGTCCCAAAGATGGACAGGTATGTAAACCAGCAAGCAAAAATCAAATAAAGACAAATATACTTATTCATTCATTTGGAAGATGTATCCCACACTGGAGAGTGACATATTATCACTCACTGAAATTCAATTAAGATTTTCTCCAGCTTTGGAACACTACATTAGAACATTCTTTTTTCCATGTAATGGCTGTATTATACCAATATCCTTAATGCTTGGATCTCTATCCAAGGAGGTTACTCCTACTCTGAGCTAATAAAGGGAAAAATAGGTTAACATCTCCAAAAAATATACACACTGAATGATTGTCACAAAGAATTACCCACAATACACATGTACACTCACACACATACACATAAATACACCCTTCTGTCTCTTTCATTTTGTATTTTTAGGATGTGCGTTGCCTAGTAGACTCTCAGCAAGGACTTGTCTTGGTATAGCAAGAATTTTAAGTTAAAAACACTTGAATTTTGGAGACCCTGATTTTCCACTTACTAGATGTGCAATATTATGCAATTTGTGGTTTGAGAGCAATTAATTACACCAAGGCTAATTTAACATGATGTCCCTATATTGACTGTTGCCCCAAAACATCTTTAAGTTACTGTCTGAAACTCCAAGCTTCTTTGTTTATGTTGCTTACTTCCTATTCATACATCTCTTTTATCAATTCCCATCTAACCTTCCAGATGCCAAATTCTCCATGAAACCATTCCTTATCAATTAAAAAAATATTGATTGGGCCTCCCTGGTAGTACAAGAGGTTAAGCACAGCACTGTGAAGCTATCTGCAGCCTCTGCAACATAAGATCGAGCCCTAGTGGCCAGGGAGCTACCCACAGGACACAGCAGACCTCTCCTATCTCACCTGCTACTCCCCTCAGCAGTGTATTTCAGTCAGTCTGCCTGTTCTGTTCTCTACTCTGTCTCTGGTGAATCCTCTCACCACCACCCCCACCTCTGGCCTGTACCCCAGTTCTTGTATGCATAAATCATTAAATCTTTTTTAAAAACAACACATTGATCATTAATTACTGACTTCTCACAATACTTGCATTTTCAGTGTATTTTTTACCACATGACTCTACTATTTCCTAATTGCTACCCAAGTGAGAATTTTAGTTCTATGGACAGAGAATGTGATTTTCCAGAATTGGAAAATATATTGCTAGCCTTATAGTGCATACCTACACTAGTGGCTTAATTAACAAAATGAGAAAACCACCTACCATAGAAAGAATAAAAGGAAAGTAATTTCTTAATGAATTAACTTTTTTATGTATTTGGAGGTGGGAAGAGGGTAGCCAGAAGGAGAGAATGTTTCTATTTTAAGAAATACACAACCATTGTCTACAGCTTCTTTTGAGGGACAATGACTTATTTTTTGTGTTTCTTTTTATCTGTTTATTTTTGGACCACAGGAATAATAAAAGTCAGAGAGGATTTTAAATAGTTTCTTATACCTGAAAACTCCAACTATCTAGATTTTCTAAAATTCCTCTAGATGAGTGGTCAATGTGGAAAAATTTATTACCATTCTCTAACAAATAGAAGAATGGGTAATGACTCTCTTTAGAGTTGAGAAACAAGTTTCTATCCAGAGTCTGACCTACTTCAATAAATTCAGCTGACACTGGCTATGAAATTAGTACTTAAGTTTTTAAAACTGCTAAAGTGCCCTTAAAGCAACCCAGAAGGACAACCCAACTGTACCTAAGGGAGCTTCACTTGGGAAGGGCAAAAAGGATTCCTTCCATGGTAATTAATTCTACAAATTCATTTACATGAGAATAAGACTTATATAAAGAAAACATACTAATGTATATTTACAGAGGGTCAATTTTGTCTCATTCCCAGAAAATGAAATTAAGTACCACTTATGTCCATTTTGTAAATTGTTGAACTATTCAGGTTTATGTTGGAATTTCAAAAACTGGTAGTTTTCTTGATAATAATACAAACTAATTCCCTCATGCTGAAATTTTAAACATTCTAAGAGAAGAGAATTCAGCTAAAATTTTGCAGAATAAAATCTCCCTTTCACATGTTCCCAGTGAGTAAGGAGAAACATTACAAACAGCAATGGGTATTAAATAGGACACAGTCATACTGTAACAATAACTTGTATTTTGCAAAAAAAGGATCTATAACTTTCTCTTTCTAAACAGCCAATACAGCTTTGGAAAAAGAAAAGATTATTAAGACAAAATAACCTCCCTTGGTTAAAATGTGGTGACATGCTCTGAAAACTTGAGTACCACTTTGGATCTATTAAAGAGGAATTGTGAATTTCTACTTTCACTTTTGCTGCAGGTGATGCTGCAGTTTTATTTCATGACATTTTAGTTTTCTGGCTTTTGCTGGCCTATTGGGTACTGAGAATTGTTTTTGGCAGCTGCTGAGTCAGCAGAGCAGGGGAAAGGCCTGAAGTGATCCAGGGGCCGGTACAGATGTGCTGGGGGCAGAGATGGCTAGTTCATGTTTGTGGCACCAATATCCCTCCTCTCTGGGGTTCCAGATCGGAGACCCTGCTCTCTGTACACTCTTGGTGCTTCACAAAGTGACTACCTATCCTGAAGGGTGGGGTAGGGACAGTCAGTCCCCAGCACAGTCTCATCTGGCCTGTGTGAAGCACCTCAGGCTCCTCTATGTGTTTCCCTTCAATCAATGGTAGGTGCTGACATGCCATTTACATGTTCTTTTCTTCTAAGCATATCGCTAGATTTCTCTTACTAGTGTTTACTTCATGACCTTAGTCTTCTGTGCTCATGAGTTAGATTGGTTTGCAAATTATACTTTCTTAAAATGCCTTCATCAGATTTGCAATGTAGGATATGATAGAAAATGAATTAGGGAATATATTCTCTTTTCCTAAAATTTGGATTAGCATGTAACATGGAAATTACTGCTTTTTCTTTACATTCTTGGTAGAATTTTCTAGTAAAACTATTTGAGTCTATAGCATATTACAAACAAATTGGATTATTCTAGGACAAGGTTGGTTCAAAGCTAAAAACAAGAAAAACATACTAAATGTTTTAAAACATACATTAAAATTAAAAATAAGATAAAAATGCCTGAATCACTACTTCTATTCAAAACTGTAAGAAGGTCCTAGCAATAAAAAAGAAATAAGTGCTAGTATTAGTAGAAAAGGAGAAATAAAACTGTCATAGTTCACAGATTATTTCCTTTGTAACAGAGAATTCAAAAGATCCTTCACATAAATTTATTAGAATTTTAAGATTTAGAAATATGACCAAAAATAAAATCACAAGAATTTACAAAAGCAATTTTTAAAAAGATACCATCTATGATAGAAAATTTTATATATAGAGAGAGAAAATACCTATGAATATATCTAAAACAAAATTTTTGCAGAAAATTATAAAATTTTGTTGAAAGACATTAAAGAAGACTCTAAATAAATGGAGAACCATGCCATTTTAATTAATTAGAAGTCCTGGTATGGTAGTGATTGCCAATTTCCCCCAAATTAACCAATGGTACAGATGACTAGAAACCAAATAAAAATTCCAACAAGCATTTCATAGGATTTTGACAATCTGATTTTTTTATTTGACAATCTGATTTTTACAAAAGACATATCTGTGTATATATATCACTGCATAACAATGATACATTCAGCAGCTTAAAACAATATTCTTTTATTGTCTCATAGTTCTGTAGGTCAGAAGTTTGGGTGGGCTTACCTTGGTTCTATATTTAGGATCTCACAAGGCTAAAATAAGCTATCAGTCAGTCTGGACTTTTTTTTAAAAAAAGATTTATTGATTTATGCACACAAGAACTGGGTACAGGTCAGAAGTGTAGGGGGTGAGAGGATTCACCAGAGATAGCATGGGGAACAGAACAGGCAAATCGACTGAAATACACTGCTAAGGGGAGCAGCAGGCAAGTCAGGAGAGGTCTGCTGCGCCATGTGGGTCACCTCCCTGGCCAGGGATCGAACTCATGCTATAGTGGCTGCAGATAGCTTCTTAGTGCTGTGTCTTAACTTCTTGCGCCACCAGGGAGGCCCCAGTCTGGACTTCTATTGGGAGGTCTGGGGGAAGAATTCACTACCAAGCAATTTCAAACTATCAGCACAATTCATTTCCTTATATCTGCAGAGCTGAGGTTCCTATTTCCTTGCTTCCTGTCAGCTGGGGTTACTTTCTGCAACTAAAGACCACTTGCATTCATTCCAAAATGGCCCCTCAATTGTAAAGCTACCAACAGCATCAAGTCCTTATGCCCTAAATCTCTGGAATCCCCTTATGCAGCCAGCTGGAGAAAATTCTCTTCTTTTATGGACTCATGGGATTACATTGGGCATACCTGGATAATCCAACTCAATCTCCCTATCTTAAAATTGCCCATGCTGTATTACATAACATAATGACTCCCAAGGGAGATTTCAATTTCACAGATTCTAGAGATTGAGGCAGATATCTTTGGAGAGCCGTTTTAGAATTCTGCCTACAAAATGACATAACAAAGTCAAGAAAAACTAAAACATTCCTAAAGCAGAACTATTAGGTGGGAGAAATTGCCTCACAAAATATCAAAACTTATTATGGGGCCTCCCCGGTGGCGCAGCGGTTGAGCGCTGGGTTGCGAAGCTGCCCGCAGACTCTGCAGCGCCGGTTTGATCCCCGGCTGCTCCCCGGCCACCGGGGAATGGCGCGCAGACCTCTCCTGCTGCCCGCTGCTCCCCTCAGCAGTGTACTTCGGTCCTTCTGCCTGCTCTGCTCCCTGCTCTGGCTCTGGTGAATTCTCTCACCCTCCCGCGCTTCTGACTGTACCCAGTGCTTGTATAAATAAATAAATCTTAAAAAAAAAAAATTTAAAAAAAAAAAAATTATAAAAAAAAAAAAACTTATTATGAAACTATAGTGATAATACACAGTAGTTTGAACCAATATATCAGAATGGAGAGTCAGAAACAGACAACTGTATGTATGAAAACCTGAGAAGGGATAGTCTGTTTCAATAAATGAGCTGAGACAATTATCCATGTGGGAAAAAATTTCAATGGATCCCTAGCTCGCATGCTATACACAAAAATCAACTCTAAGATATAAAAAGCACAAATCATAAAGAAAAATGATTGATAAATTCCACCATTTTTAAATCAAAAATTCCTGTTCTTCAAAAGACACCTTAAAGTTAAAATTAATCCTAACCCCAGTCAGGACCACACTCCATTAATTCTCCCTCCCTTTCTCTCAGATCATGCCCAATCTTATTCTTCTCCACTGGCCTCTTCCTTTCAATCCAGTAACACCCCTTCTCTACCCCAAACATCAAAAAAGCATCCGTTGGTTCTATGCTCCCCTTCTAGTACTAGTTCACTTCTGTCTTCAATGCCTACTACATAATCATTTCTCAATTTGTAATCTTCCTGGTTAGAATACATTTTAGTTTTCTTACAAGCCCAGTTAACTCTTAAACATATTCTTTTTATTACAACTAGATGTTTAAATGCATTTTCTTGACCACACCAAGAGTATGAAATTGTTCCGTCCCAGTCAGAAAACTGTAAACTATCACAAAAGGAAAAAAACACCTATTCAAAGGAGGATTTGTCTACATTTTTAACAGCAAAAATTTGTTACCTGAATAAGAATTAAGAGAAACTGTCCACCGTACTGCTAGTCCTATTAAGACCACAATTGTCATCAAGTACCATTTCTCCATAGTTCTTCAAATTTAGGGAGGGGGAAAAAAACAGGAGCTGGGTCAGAATACTTTCAACATGCAATCAGTCACTTCTTTTCTTGACCAGAAAACTGTTCTCAATCCTCTGAAATTAAGTTTGAGATGATTTTAAGTGATACTTCTTTTCTGAGCAGTTGAATATATTGATGTTTATGTCTTTGAAGAGAGAGTCTGAAGGAAAAAAAAACAAAACACAAAAAACATACCAACGTTTAGTAACATTAAACCAAATAGAAAGATGGAGATTTGGGGAGCAGGGAGTGGGGGTAGATAAAGAGGAGAGGGAATAGTTTTATTACTTTATTCCTAGTCTTCTAGTTGGTAAACAGTCCTCAAAAGGTAGCTCTCCCTTTTATATGGGACTTAATAGACTAAAGATATAGTAAAGATTTGGCCTCACAAGAGACAACAGACATATGTAGATAATACAAGAGCATATTCTCCTACAGGTAGAAAAATTAGACCACAAAAGTAAACAAAGGGGTGATTTATCTTTGGTACAGAGAGAATGAGGAATTTGTATTGAGTTTCAGAAAGTCTTCCACTGAAGTAATTTTTGTAGTTTGTTTTTACTTCATTTTTTCCCAAAATATACTTGCACTAACCATATCAACCTTCCTTCTTTGAGAATGAACTCTTCCAAGAATGTATAAGAATAGGGCCTCCCTGGTGGCACAAGGGGTTAAGACGCAATCTATAAAGCAATCTACAGCCTCTGCAGCAGTAGTTCGATTCCTGACCAGGGAGCAACCCACATGGCGCAGCAGACCTCTCCTGACTCGCCTGCTGCCCCCTCAGCAGTGTCTTTCAGTCAATCTGCCTGTTCTGTTCCCCACTCTGTATCTGGTGGATCCTCCCAACCCCCATGCCTCTGGCCTGTACCCCAGTTCTTGTATGTATAAATAAATAAATCTTTAAAAAAAAAAATCTGTAAGAATAGCCCAAATACTAAAGCAGTAAGAAGCAATTAGCAACTCATATGTTTCACTTTTTCCCATAGGTTAGGGATTTAAAAGTAAAAAACAAATAGAAATTTTCCTATTTTCTTTGAAAAATTGTGGATCATTTTAACCACAGAATTCAGAAAAGTATAATTAATAAATCAATTGAAAATTTTAGGGAAATTTTGGCTCACTTCACCTAATGGACAAAAATTACCTTATTTAAAATAGCAAAAACTCTAGAACTAATGAAGTCTAGAGTCTCAATCAAACAGAATGACTCAAAGTACTTATGAAGGCTAAGTATATTATTCAAATATTGATTATATAAAGCCCCTTTCTCTTTCCTTCTTCCTACTGCATCCACTTTGATCATTTTACTATTCAGTGGAACATCTATCACACAGGCAAATTTAAAGGAAAAAATTAAAATTAAATCACTTTCTGGTGTTGACTCTGAATTTGACAAAGGTTATAGAGGCTATTATATACTATTCAAGTTCTCAAAAAAATTCCTTTTATCAACATACTGTACTATAAGTCCCAGAATTGCAATATAACACTCTATTTTCTGAAAACAGCATATATTTTCTAATGTTTAAAATGATTATACAAATGTTAAATCCTGGATTCTAAAATACAACTTACCTCAGAAATTTAAATCACTATTATGACCAAGTTAATATTCTACTTCCACATAATCAGATTTAAGTACTTCTCTAGGAATCTGAAGTAACAAAATAACACCACCAGTAATAATAATCACAACGAAGTTATAGAGAACATAATATTTAACTTATATCATGCTGATCAAGTCAGCAAAGAGCATCGTGATGGGATAACAAATAGATGAAAGAATCATATCAAAAAAGATTTGGACAGCATCTATAACAGACCAAATCTTTACTCCAGAAATCATGACAGGAATAAATTCAACTAAATTCAAGTCATGCACTTAAATGTGAAAAAACCCAACAAATTAACTGCATGAGTACTAAATAGAAGACAACAATAACAGAGGATAACTACCAGTTCCATATGATGAATCCGGAACTGAGGACCAGCATTATAGTTACTTTGATTACACATTAGGAAAGCTTTTCTAACAATTAGCGTTGTCCAAAAATGAACTCTCCTTAACAGTTTCAAGTAGAAGTTGAGCAACTTGACAAAAATGAGTGCATGAAATAGATGACTAATTTCTAAAGTGTCTTCTAAATCTGATTTTGGAAGCATATTATGTGTCTGAATTAACAAAAATCCTGATACTACAAAAGATTTGGTATGCCAATATTTTGTATCCCCTACTTCCCAATGGTTGAGCAGTATTGCCTGTGGGTCTGCTAGACTTAAGCGGTTTGTTCAACCACCATTATGGTTACCTGCAGTTCTGCATTCCTACACAAAGGTCAGAACTGTCCAGTCACAGCAACATGAGCCAAACTTACAAGGTACCTTTCATATCAATCAAGAGCAAAAAGCTTGATCACTCTGGGAAGGGGGTGGATCAAGAGGTATGACCAGGAACGCGGAGGGGGAAGGGGGGCTGGGGGGGGTGAGGACAGATGGATAAACTTACTCCTGACTCATACATCATGAAGTATGACCAGGAATGCCCAGGGGGCCAAGGACTGATGTATGACAAGGGACCCCAGAAGCTGATCAGTGGAATGCTGTGTTGATAAGATTAGGACCCTGGCCGGGGGTCTGGGGTCTAGTTCTGATTCCAACACTTGGTCATCAAGCTGATAACATGGTCAGCAGAATCGTGTACCCCAAGCCGTAGATAACATTCCTGAGTTTCACCCATCCTTTTCTCCTTGTCCTAATGCACATAGCTGATGCTCTATGATTATTCTATCAATAAAAACGGCTAGGATCTTGCTCTCAGCAGCATCCTGCCTTGAGTAGCCTGCTCCACAACTCCCATGTCTTTGTCACTGTGGTGTTGCCCGACGCAACAATTGCCATTTTTGTAGACCTTCCCATCCTTCACAAGTGGTTACGTTAGCAACTGAAGCATACCAAAAATATCTTTTCCAAGAGCTATTATACTTTAGAGTAAAACCCAAATACCCTCACCATAAGACATTCTAACATCTGACCACTGTCTGCCTAATTTTATCTCCTTCCACTTTCCTACAAAGTGTTCGCTCTGTTCATAGGATCTATCAGGTTCCCCTGTACCTCTGTTCCTCTCTATTCCTTCTGCTTGGAATGCTCTTAACCCAGCTCACTGGCATTTGTGTAATCTCTCTTCTCCTCAAGAAGATCAAGATAGAGCTTCCATATGATCCAGCAATTCCACTCCAAGGTATTTACCCAAAGGACACAGAAACATTAATTCCAAAGAGCACCCGCACCCCTATGTTTATAGCAGCACTATTTACAATAGCTAAGCTTTGGAAACAACCCAAATGCCCCAAAATAGATGACTGGATCAAGAAGATGTGGTACATATACACCATGGAATATTACTCAGCATTCAAAAAAGATAAACACATGCAATTTGCAGCAACATGGATGGAGTGGAAGGGATCATGCTCAGCGAAATAAGCCAGAAAGAAAAAGAAAAATACCGGATGGTCTCACTCATAGCAGGAATCTAGAAAACCTAAATAAGGGACCAGGAAAAGGAATAACTATAAGAAAGAAAAAAATCAAAATCAACAAACAACTATGAAAGAGACACACTTTGGGGGTGCGGGGAAAGGAGGGATGGGGGTCAAAATCAGGGGGCTGCAATTGTAAGGGGAATATAAAAATTTAAAAAAAAAAATCATCCCTGATCACCCTACTAAAGTTTCCACCTCTTACTATTTGTACCACTACCTTCTTTAATTTTCTAATTCTCTTCACGCAACATGGAGCGGCCTCACAAATGCAATTTTCAGTTAAAAAAAAAAAAAGCTCGACATCAAAGAACACATAATCATATGTGAAAGAAGATCAAAGAACACAGAACATGTGTTCTTCCATTTATGAAAGGCTCATAAATTGGTAAAATTAATCTATGATGTTAGAAATCAGGAAAGAGGTTACCTTTGGGGAGAAAAGAGGAAACTGATGATAAGGAAAAGTCCATAGGGAGGTCTTCTGAGAAAACGTTTCTCGATTTGAATGGTGGCCTAAGGTATGCGTTTATGATAAACCAACAAGTTACAATTTATGGTTTGTGTAGTCTTTTCCTGTACATGTTATACGCCAAGTCTAAAAAGTTTAAAAATAAATTACTACAACTATTTGCCAACTAGAATACAGACTCCATGCAAGCAGGGCTCCCCTCCTGTCTTATCGTTGCTCTGTTCCTATACTTAGAACAACGTTGGCCGAAATCAAGTACTCCTGAAGTATTTGCTGACTGGAGATCTTCATCAGTGTGAAGAGGGGGGTATCTAATTCCTTGAGTCCTTTGTGGTTAAAGATACTGTGTAAGACTTTTAACAGATGTCTTCTTGACAGTACAAAGGGAGTCTACTGCTTTTTCCATCTGCAAAGCCAGTACCGTAACTTTCTAATCCGTCCACAAGCCACGAAGTTGCCAGTTTTCCGTCCTGCTTTGCTTACAGGGTGGCATCTCGACAAGTCAGGCGCCCATTCCCCAAGGCCGAATTTGTTCCTTTTAATGGGAAAGGCCCGTCCCCCGGAGTGGACACGAGCCTCTCGGAGCGCCACCAATCCCAGGTGAGCAAGGCTGAGCTGAGAAAAGGGCACCTGCTTTCTCCAAGGGGCCCGACCCTCAGGATCGCAGGCCCCAGGGCTCGGGGCCGCTGCAGCCGAGGGATCCCACCGCCATCCCCGCGTCCGCTCCTCGCCGCCCCCAGCGAGCCTGCGGGCTGGGCTGGCGGCCGCGCACAAGATCCCCGAGCTGAGCGGCGACCCGAGCCCCGGCACCAGCTTGTGCGCAGGCTCGCGGCGGGTGTCGCGACCCCAGCCCCTCCCGACACCGGCCGCGCTCGCCTGCACCCCCAGGGAAGCCGGCCTCTTACCCGGCCGCCCGCCGAAGATTGGGATTCGCGCCTGCCACAAGTGCCACGATTGCGCCTGCGCGCGCGCCCCCGCGACAGCGTACCCTTGCGGACTTCCGCCTCCGCGTGCTCGCGCACGTTAGCGCGCCCGGCGCGGGAGCGCGCCCGTCGAGCGTGAGGGGAGGGGCCTGGGGGAGGGGCGGGGGAAAGGCGCGGAGAGGAGGCAGCTGGTTTGAGAGGCGGGCACAAGCGAAAGGAACCCGAGAGGCCTCCGGTCTCGGGTTAGGTTTGGGGCAGGTGGAAAGCCCCTTGCTCGTCTTTCCTGGGACCGTGGCCAAGGCCTGAGCGGATACTTAGGCCACGAATTCCAGTCAGGGGCGCGACCTGGCTTGCTTCACTGAATGGCGAGCCCTTGGCTAGTACCACAGGGCAGTACGTCCTATGCCCTCACAGAGCCAGAAGCCAGCCTCTTCACGTCTTCAATGCCAGGCTGGTTAGAATGCACAAAGTCTGGGAAGTCACTTCATCTAAGAAATAGTCAACCTCCCACCGTTTTCAAGAACCTGTGGGTCATGCTCAACAGTCCTGGGGCCTCCATGGTGGCACAAGGGGTTAAGCTGGCGCAAGGGGTTAAGCTATCCGCAGCCTCGGCAGCACGAGTTCGATCCCCGGCCGGCCGGGAGCAACCCACATGGCGCGGCAGACCTCTCCTGTCTCACCCGCTGTTCCCCTCAGCAGTGTGTTTCAGTCAGTCTGCCTGTTCTGTTCCCCAGTCTGGTGAATTCTCTCTCTCTCTCTCTCTCTCTCTCTCTCTCTCTCTCTCTCTCTCTCTCTCTCTCTCTCTTTCTCTCTCTCTCTCTCTCTCTCTCGTGCGCGCGCACCCCTCTGGCCTATACCCTATATCCCAGCTCTTGTATGCATAAATAAATAAATCTTAAAAAAAAAAAGAACAGCCCTGCTTATGAGTAGCCACCACCTGTTTCTCATCGGACAGCTTAGATCACCTATTCTGAAACTTTTCAAAAATAATTACATTCCACTCTTTTGTTCAGAAAAAGTCTTCATTCCCCATTACTGAATCCTGTCTTTTTGTATAAGTCAACCCCTCTAACTTAAAATCTCTGCCATCAGCAGATATTGGGCTATGGCTTTATACTAGTTAGATTTCAATGAGTTTTTGGATCTTGGTGGTTTCATCTGTGAATTAAGGAAGAGGGACTAGGTCAACTTTCACATCTAAAATTTTCTATTACGTTCCAAAGACCACCAGCGCTGGAAATATCTCAATGCCCTCAAGAGATTTAATTCTCACTGGAAAGATACTTTCATGCATTAAGGGATAGAAAGCAATAAAAGGGAGCACATGCTACATGTCAGGTTATTGGTTTATACATATTAAGTGCTTTACGAATTCAAAGAAAGTCCACGATAGACTTAGAACTATCAGGAAATGCTTTCCCTATCAAAGTCAGTTGAGCTTTGAAGGAAAGCCTAGGCTTTCATGAGCCAAGAGGATGGGAGTAGGAATCTAGACAAAGGAAATTATTCAAGTCAAAAATGTAGCAGCTGAAAATTGCAGAACATTTCCTCTAGTTTAGATGCTGGGTATAGGGTAAGTGAAAAAGTATCAGGCTTTTCTGCCCTCCCGCCATTAGGATTGATGATGGATCCTTGTGGTCCTGAATGCATGCCTGATGGCGGGCTCCTGGAGTAGGGTGTGGACATGCGTAAGTGGATACACCTGTGCTGAGAGACTGGGCTTATAAGGGCATCATTGTCCGGGCCAGCCGGGCAGATCAACGGGGTACCCCGGGGAGGAAGCAGGGGCTTGGTATGGGACAGGGGTACGAGGAGTGGAGACAAAGCCAGGATCATCGCCAGTCTCATTTATTCAGGAATGTGTACAATGTTATATAGGGTTCAGAGGAGGAGGTCTCTCTCGTTATCTCTAACAAGGAGAGACCACCAATGCCAACAAGCCACAAGTAGCAAGCAGGGGGAAGGGTTCAGTCGTCACAATAGGAAACTTGAAACCTTCACTGGAGCTAACATTCAGTACCTGCTTCAGGCAAGAACCCGGATGTTCAGGTCTGGGCCCCAGGTCTGGGCCCCGAACACATCATCATGGGGATGCCAGTAGAGCAAAGAGCAGAGAACAAGGCAACAAGAGAACACCAGGAGAGCCCAGAGTGAAGACTTGCTGGGGCTGGGAGGCCTGCCAGCCTCCAGCCCCCCCCCCCACCGGCACCCCTGCCTGCTGTGTACCCAGTAAAAGCCTGCAAAAGCCACCGAGGGCTGAGGGCTCCAGGACACTCTTCTCTTTACCCTGTCTGCTCGGATCATAGAAAACCTGCACTGTGCCCATTCCTGCCACTACACTAGGTGAAGAACCAGAAAGAAATAACTGTGGAGAGTGTTGAATACCTGGCTGTGTTTGGAATTCAATTATCAAGGGGTCATTAAATAGCTGAGAGTCACTTGTACAGTAATAGAGAAATTTTTTTAAAAGATTTATTTATTTATGCATACAAGAACTGGAGTACAGGCCAGAGGTACAGGAAGTGAGAGGATTCACCAGAGACAGAGTGGGGACCAAAACAGGCAGGTCTACTGAAATACACTGCTGAAGGGAGCAGCTGGCGAGGCAGGAGAGGTCTGCTGTGTCATGTGGGTTTACTAGAGAAAATGTCAAGTGATAATAATGGATAAGCTGAATCAAAGAAAGAAGTAGAACCCATAGTAATCCAAGCATAATTAACAAGGATCTGATGGTAATAGTGGAATGCAAAAAAACAGATCAGGGAGAATGTACCAGTTTTGGTGGCGCGCCAGACGTGTAAAAGAAATGAAACAAATGGTGGTACAAGGGGTTAAATCTCAGTGGATTCCCCCGCCTGGGAGCTAATCCACATATGACAGCAGACCTCTCTGGTCTTGCCAGCTACTCCCCTCACCAGTGTATTTCAGTAGATCCACCTGTTCTGCTCCCCACTCTGGCTCTGGTGAATCCTCTTACCCCCCTCACACCTCTGGCCTACACCCCAGTTCTTGTATGGATAAATAAATAAAAATAAATTTTTAGGGGGAGCCATTGCAGCATGTGTTCAATCTCCAGCCAGGGAGATGACCCATATGACTCAGCAGACCTCTCCTGTCTTGCACGCTGCTCCCCTCAGCAGCATATTTCAGTTCTGCCCGTTCTGCCCCTCACTCTGTCTCTGGTGAATTCACCACCTTGTTCCCCACCCCCACCCTCACACCCCCCACCTCTGGCCTACACCCCAGCTCTTGTATGCATAAATAAAATAATCTTTAAAAAAAAAACAACTGTACAATTTAGCAATAAAATAAAACCCAATTAATAAATAGGAAGTGGGACTAAACAGACAGTCACAAAGAAGATATACAGAAGGCCAATAGATATATGAAAAAATGGTCATCATTGCTTTTAAAAAGGAAAATGCAGGTCATCTCACACCTAAAAGAAAGGCATATATTAAAAAGACCCCCAACAACAAGTACTGCAGAGAATATAGACAAAGAGGAACTCTACTACACTATTGGTGAGATGTAAACTAATGGAAAGTGATCTGTATTTACCTTTAAAAACTAAAAAGAAAAAAAAACTAATCTAAAAATTAAAATACCATGTGACACAGTAATCCCACTCTTAGGTATCTATCCAAAGAATTTAAAACCATCCACCCAAAATATTTTATGCTCTACACTGTTTATTGCAGTATTATTTATAGTAGCTGGGGCAGGGAAACAACCTAAAGGATTGGATCATGAAAATGTGGTATATTTATCCAATGGAATACTACTCAGCTATAAGGAAAGATGAAATGTTGCCACTTACAACAAAATGGAAGGAGTTCAAGGAAATTGTCTCCAGTAAAGCAAGTGAGATTGACAAAGACAAAGACAAATATAGGATATTTACACTGTGACTGAATCAACAAGGCAAAATACATATAAAAAGAAATTTCTGAGGTTAAGAGGGAAGAGAAGGAAGAAAGCATTAAAGGGGTATTTCAGACGGTGGTGGGAATTTTTTTTTAAATATGCAAAATGAATGAATGAATGAATGAAAAATTTAAAAAGAAAATGTCAAAAATGGAGGAAACGGGGCCTCCCCTGGTGGCACAGTGGTTGAGCACTGGGTTGCGAGGCTGCCTGCAGCCTCTGCAGTGCCAATTCGATCCACTGGCAAGGGTCCCACAAAAAAAAAAAAAAAAATGGAGGAAACACTAGCAAACCACTCTGTATTTTGTTGTGTTTTTTTTTTTTTAAGATTTATCTATTTATGCATACAAGATCTGGGGTACAGGCCAGAGGTGTGGCGGTGAGAGGATTCACCAGAGACAGAATTGGGAACAGAACAGCAGACTGACTGAAATACACTGCTGAAGGAAGCAGCGAATGAGTCAGGAGAGGTCTGCTGCGCCATGTTGGGTTTCTCCCTGGCCAGGGATTGAACTCATGCTGCAGCGGCTGTGGAGAGCTTTATAGGTTGCATTTTAACCCCTTGCGCCACCTGGGAGGCCCAGTAACTTAGTCTTCAGTTTATAAACCAGTGTTCTATGGAGCCCAGCAGAATATAAATCATTATTTTTACTGTCAATTTCAGGTGTCACTTGGAATATTATTCTCACATAAATGCATATTTTCAACTATGTATTGAATACATAGTTGTGTTGTACATGTATTGAATACATATGTAATAATACACATAATTTTTTATATGAACCATACATACATATTCTGTCCACATGGTCCACACAATGATGTTGTAACAGAATCTAGGGAT